AGGGCAGTCAGTTTTCTCAAAAACGTTTTGGATTTCAATCCACACCAATGAGTTACAAACTCCTTTTTTTTAGACTTAGTGTCGCGAATATCCGAGTTTGCTCCTCTTTTGTTTTGGTCTGGTCTTTTTTGAAAAGCAAGTTACCAGTGCTGTCACTGGTTCCTAGACTGTCTCTTAATAACCTGACACCCCTCACTATTATCTTTTCTTCTGTTTACTTAGGTCCTTAAACAAAAATAATACCCCTCCGGGTTGACAAAAAAACAGCACCCCTCCGGATTGGCAAAATAGGACCCCTCCGAATTGGCAAAATTGAGAACCCTCCGGATTGGGACCCCTCCGGTTTTGTGAAAACAAGACCCCTCCGGATTGGGACCCCTCCGAATCAGGAAAAATTTGGACCCCTCCTGATTGGGACCCCTCCGGTTTTGTAAAATTAGCTTTTCTGAGACTTCCTTAATTCTCAACCTATACCCCTCCGGATACGTTCTCCGATGCTATTATGCTGTTCGTATCAACTAGGAAGGGTATGTGGTCCTTCCCTAAACATTCCGGATTTTAGTTAAGCCTCTTATTTGACAACTCACGCTAACGGTGAAGGGTCTTATCGCTAGTCTAATTTCGTGTCTATCAAGGTTTTCTGGTGCCTTTAGCCTTCCCTATTCTTCTAGAACAGCGTAAAATTGCCTTATTTAACCATTTCTACCCTTTGGTAGGAGTGTAAGGGCTTTCCAAAAAATTTTATAAAACGTGAGGGGTCTACCCTCCCGAATTGGTAAATTTGCTAAAAACAATCTCAAAAAATTTTCACGCCTACTTTTTCCAATAACTTTTGTTCCTATTAGTAATCTCAGCTAATTTCTAATCTAATGGTACCAAGATTAAATGGATCTTTCCATTAGTTCCAAAGTTATTAACCAAAACGTCTTTTTTTCTAAAGTCAAGAAATTTCTCTCTTATAGGTTCCGCCTAACTTTTTCCGCAATTCTGTTCTTTTCGACCTAAAAACTATTGATCCGAGCTCAGAAGGCTTATACTCTTCTAATTCATTGCAAAAAAAACCCGATCTAAAACGCTTCAGTTGAAAAAATTTGCCAAAAACTATGCTACCTGGACCCCTCCGGATTGATGAATCCACTGAATTGAACACGTTAAGTTCGATTTCTCTGTAATCCGGAAGGCTTTCGGTAAACGGGTCTTAAAACCTGTTGATTCACTAGTGGACGTTGTCCGAACAACTATTTTTACTGTCCTAACTCAAAAATTTCAAAAATTTTTCTGATTTTATAGTGTTCCGTTTTCTCAAAATCACGAAAATTCGGTTTTTGGTACCAAAATAGTTCCAACCACTTCTGAACTAAACTCAACCGGTTCTACCTATTATACTAGCACAGTTACGATGTAACTCACTAATTTAGCGCTTTTTTCTGTTTCAAAAAAATATTGCTATTTCAAAAACGCGATTTGTGGGGGGATCAAAATAACGCTATTTTAACCCTAAAAACCGGTCTGTTTTCTTTGTTTTTTCACTGAAAAACGACATCGGAGTATTAATATGGGCTATACAAGTAATAATATTAGTAATTTTATACCCCTCCGGGTTTGTTTAATATCCGAATTAAGGTGCTTAACTCGGATATTCGCAGTTCGGTGAAGGGTCACTACAGTGCAGCAGTGTCGAGCCCCCCACAGATTACTATCTTAATTTTTGTATCAAAAGGGATACAAAACTTGTTACCGATACCCAACAGTCGACTTTCGTTGTCGCCGAGCCCCTCCTTGTTGCTCATTGTACTGCTTGCCGGATCAGTCTCCCAAGACCCCTCCGGATTGAGCGCAAATCAGCAGACCCTTCTGGATTGAGCGCAAATTAGCATTAACGTGCTTAAATACTCAAACAACCCTACAGCACAAGCCTCACAAACGGGCTACAAAATTGATCGTGACAATTCTGATTGATATAAATGCCTGTAACAACAATATATCTATCAACAACAAACGGTAGGGTCGGATCACATCTTGTCTGGGGGGATGATTTCTACTGATTTTTTAAACTTTTTTTTACTGTTTTTGGTTTTTTCGGTTATTTTTTATGTTTTTTCTTTTTCTTTCTATACTACTTTTTGTTTGGTTTATTATATTTCTTTAAGTGTTTTGGGTCACAGACCTCTCAGGGAACGAGGGGACGGCCAATCGTCCCACCCTTCCTGGTTCGTGAATTTTCGGTCTTAACTAGGTAAAAAAGATATTCACGGTAATCCGGAAGGCTTCCGCGTTCCGAACTACCCTTCCGCCCCGGCGGTTTTGGCCTATTGAAGGCATTAATGTGAGCATCCGCTCGGCGCGGAGTAATCGTTAACGGTTCTGCCGGTCATGATGTTAAAAAAGAATAACACACAGGAGCGCCATAAAATAAGTACATATCGACGGAAAATAAAGCTAAGCTATAAAACGACTGGCTAGCGTCTAAACTAAGCTCTTCGGAAGTATGCTGCAAGACGAAAAAGCGTCAGATAAGAAAAAAAGTTTATTAAATTGCGGTTATAGTGTCAAAGTAAAAAAATACTTACGGGACCCTTTCGGTTTGTATGCACAGTAAACTCCGGGCAGAAAAGCAAATCCTAAATTGAAAATTGATTTTGTTTTCCAGTATTTTTAACAGCAACAATAACTTGAAATGTCCTTACAGACAGAGCATTCAACAAAGATTGCGCAAGTGGAGGTGTTTCATCTTCGACTTGCTCATCATTTGATTTTCGAGATCTGGTGTCAGATGACGATGGCAAACTTGACCAGAAAAAACCTCGCCAATCCGGATCTTCAAAGATGTATGGCAGAATTCTGGTCATCAGGCGGACACAGTTTAACGTTGCAGCTTGTTCATTCTTTGAGCAACATCCTGACTCTTCTGGCTGCACCAATCGTTCCACTGCCTGAAATTTACGCAGTGAAAATATATGGCTAATTTTTCTTTTCAGTTCAAGATCAATTGTCAAGAAAGATAACCTTACCTTATAACAGAGTGTTGCTAAATTTGACGGCGATTCCTCTCTTAGTGCTCTGATTTCAGCCGCAGGAATCAGTGCGAAGACGTCTTGAACACTGCTCACATTTTCCGCCCAAAATTGCTCGCAGAATTGCTGATCGGCTGCCTCAATTGGCTACAAATTAAGTTGTGAGGTTAATTGAAAAAATTGTGATAAAATGAATTACAGTACAATTTAAGACAAAAGATTTGAAAAACAATAAAGCTAAGTAACGTTACCTGGGTTTTAGTGGTCAGCTGTATGACAGCTTTTCGAAAATTGAGCTTTGTATCGGAATTCCCCATCTTAAAAAAACTAAATTCAAAAAGTGGCTCTTCCGTGTAATAACGATGTTAGTCGTCATTACATTAATCTCCATACTAGTCGGCTTTACTATTTTCTTCCTCGGCCACTCGGCCACCGTCGTTCCTGGGTTAAACTGAGCCTGGGCATAAGTCATCTACCGTTAAAAAAACACTGAATTTCTGTAACATTCGCTCGGAAGTACATATCGACGGAAAGTAAAGCTAGGTTCTAAAACGTCTGGCTAGCGTCTACACACAACTCTACATGCTTTTCACCGTCTCTGCCAAAGCCAGTTCTTTTGGTGGTCTTTCTAACATCGGGTCGACAAAAACGTTACTGTTTCCTGCTTCGATCAGAACGCTCTAATTAACTTAATTACATGCAGAAATAGTGAGCTCATGGCTGGGTCTCAGTATCGCCAGACCACGAGAACACTCCTAAAATCAGGGCTACTACTACTTATTATATTACTATTGTTTTTGTTCAGTAGATAAAAATCATCATCTCCATCGAAGAAGAATCAACCCTTTCCCCCAAACTCCTAGCTTCTCATCCTTGCAAAATGAATTCAGATGTTAATTAAATTCAATTCAAGACATAACCGGGAAGCTAAAAGTTTGTATAAAATGATTTAAGTTCCAGTCCCGAGACCCCTCCGGATTCTTGAATCCGGGGAAATAAGACCCTTATTTTTCTCCCGGAAGGCTGGTTTTCCACCCTTCGCCGTTGTTTACAACGGCCTTGCAACTATTGTAGCGACACAATAGTTGCAATTCAGAACGGTCTCTGCTATTTCTGCTTTTCTCCGATTCTGATTCTCAATTTTCTCGTTGTTGTCGTCGTCGCAACTATTGTTGTTCTGATTTTATTCTGGTTTTCTTCTAAAATGGCAGTTTTTGACGCTTCTCAGAATTATTACGTCATCACTTCGAATTTTTAAAATTCCAAATATCAGAATATCTTGATCTTCACCGTTTGACTAATCTTCCCAATAACGTTGTTAATCTCTTAAAACCGTCAATTCGGAAGGTAAGCTGCTAAAATTCCGAATCTGTTGAATCTGCATTTTTGTCCATTCTAGTCGAATGTCACAATCCGATTCGCTTCGTTTCAAAATTTTATAGCTTGAACAGTATCTTTAGAAATATTTCAGTTTGAGTGAACCGATTCAGTTTGAAAACAAAATAGTTCAAATTTTGTTGTTGTAATAGCTAGCTTAGAAAAATTTGAATATTTTGAAAACTGATTTGGTCGATGGAATAATTTGAAAACTTTCAAAGTTTCACCGATTTACTGGCTGCAATGGAAAAACTTATACTTAATAACAGATGTAAGAATGTGATTGGTTAAAATTTTCTAACATGTTCTTTTTGAATTTCATACATGATCTTTGATCATTTTATTGTAAATAAAAAATTTTATATCCTGATGATGCACAAAATGTGCGAAAACGTTTGAATTAACAATTTTAAAAAATCCTTATTTTACTTTTTGTTAAATTTTGGAAAAAAAATAACCTCGGCGAAGAGTGAATGATAGATTAAAAAGTTTGTTGTAAAAATACAAACAAAAAATTTTTAGATCATTTTTATTTTTCTCAGAATAGTCTTAATTTTTATTTTTTTCTTTTCTCATCTTAACAATGAGTTTTCTTACATTTGAGTTAAAATGGCATGGGTTGTAGCTGCAAGCTCTCTATTTCATAGCTTGAATACCTTACGACCAGCAGAGAAAGCGGAACTGGACGAACTGGTATACGCTGAATCGGGATTATCGCTGAATCCTCATACCGTGAGGAAGAGACAAAATTTACAGACTCTTCTGGAAGAGCATCCTCTGGTGGACAAGGAGATAATTCTTTGGCACGACGTATTGAATAACAGTTTGTCGAAGCACCGAACCAATGCCAGCACGCTTTATCCTCTGGACGATTTAATTACGTATTTGCAATCAAAGCGACATCGGTTTAAGGCGATTATATATTGCAGAAGAACCAGAACGACAGATATCTTTGATTCTCTGATGCGTACAGGGATCTTGATAGTCCAACTACGAAATTGATCTCGAGAGGCAAGAGGCAGGATCCCGCTTTGGTGAGACAATACCTGGAAGTTCATCAATCGAGCGAACTTGAGTTGAAGTCATTGCGAGTTGTGCTGACACATAGAGAGAACTTGCCCGGGATATTCTCAAAGATAAGAGCGCGGACTCAGAAACCATCACAAGGACGACGCAAGGCGAAGGCACGCAGAGAGGAAACAACGACTGACGTCTCTCTGCCATCGGCTGAAAGGGCGCGGATTGGGTAAGTGAATCTACTGTGTGAATTATCCTGCTGAGAGCCGCATGAGTTTAAGTGCTCGTGGCCTGCAGGATAATGACCGCCGTAGTTTTGCCCCCACCGATGCTGAGATGGATACTCAGGAAAAAACAAACTTGGAAATTAGTTTTGAGTTACCTGAAGTATTCAAATAAATTAAACAACAATTTCCATCGATTGAAGTTTTTACGGAAATGTCAAAGCAATGACATAATACCAGATTTTTTGAGATTTCGGGTGCCAGAAAATGTGTTTTTTTTCGGACCAAGCGGTGCATAGCTTTCAATTAAAACTCCTACGAACAGAGATAAATCAGGCAAGGTCAGAAGAGAAGAAGATAGACGATGATCTAGCTAAGGCAAGAGAGGTAGTGCGGAGAGGGATAGATGAACAATGGTGGCCCTCAATAGCATTTTATCTAAAGCTCCAGGCTAGAATTGTTATCCATGACATCAAGGATAGACATGAAAAGAAGTTAAAAAGCTAGCAGAGCGGTAGGACAGACCGTTAATGAAAGTGAATGACAAATCGGTCAGAGCACTAGATGGCATTGAGCTACCCAAGTGGGTTCATGAAGTGTTAGGTTTTGGCCCAAAGCACCCGGTGAGGGATCGTTTCAATGAACTTCACTTTCTTGCGGACCTTGATAATTTTTTATCTGAGCTTAAATCGCAAAAGGTACCAGGTGAAAAATTATGTGAAATTGAAGCTGCTGCAAAATCATACGCTAAACGTGTGCGGCAAACACCGTCGGATAGAGGGATTGAGAAAGCCAGGAAGTATTTGAAGGACAATGGTCTATTGGCAGTCCCATTCGATAAAGGTGTTGGCTTCTGTGTAATGAAGAAAACGACATATGAGGCTAAACTAACTGAGCTGCTGCAATCGGAACAATTTAGCGAAAAACCAGGTTTAACTGATAGTGTTGTTATGAAAATTGAGAAAGACATCAACAAAGAACTGTTGGCCATGAAAAAGAAAGATGAGATCGATGAGGCACTGTATAGTAGGCTTAGGTCCACGGGAGGGCAGCCAGCTCGTTTATATGGATTGGCTAAAGTACATAAGAAAGGAACCCCTCTCCGTCCCGTACTGTCACTGCCAGGGAGCTCATATGAACATCTAAATAAAACTTTGGCCAAATTTTTTGACAACATTGAGGGGGCAAACATTGAGACAAACACACAAATGGCTCGGGAGATCATAGAGAACATAGATCTAGACTATAATGAGAGTATTATCTCCCTGGATGTCAAAAGTTTGTACACTAATGTCCCACTAAAGGAGGCAATAGATATAGCACTGAGGAAACTGTACGAACAAACTAGTCCTCCTAAACTGGCACGCGGAACTATGAAGAAATTGTTGAACATGGCTGTAAGTAAGGTGCACTTCAAATGCAATGGTTTATGGTACGTACAAAAGGATGGGTTGGCAATGGGTGCATCCCTTGCTGTCATTCTTGCCAATTTATGGCTAAAGGAGTACGAATATGCATTAATGAAGGAAGTAGCTGCGTTGACACAGCTAAAGGAAAACCGGAATGGCCTATGCCCTGATTGCGAGCGGAGGGTAACATACAGAAGTAAGGGGATCGAATGCGAAGCTTGTTTAAATTGGTACCATTTAAAGTGTAGTAATGTATCCGACAAAGAATATGAGCAAATCTCAGAAATGGTTTGGTATTGTAAGAGATGTAAAGAGCAGCGAGATCAAGAAAAACCAACAGAAAATGTCAAAGCGTTCCTAAGATATGTAGATGATATAGTGAGGACGGTAAAAGGGGATCCAGATATAGTGTTAAAAGCAGCTAATGAGCTCCACCCCAACTTACAATTCACTATCGAAAATCCGGATTCGAACGGAGACTTAGCCTTTCTAGATTTGAACAATAATGTGGACTCACGAAAAAAGGTAACATGTGGATGGTATCAAAAACCAACGGATACTGGGACTATCCTTAACTTCAGAAGCTGCGCTCCATTGCAATATAAACGCAATGTAGTTGAGGGTACTGTTCATCGGATTTTTAGAAGTACATCAACATGGGAAAACTTTGACAAGGCAATGAAGATTAATAAAGAACAATGGGTGGATAATCAATACCCTGAAAAATGGTCAGATGGTGTCGTATTAAGAACGTTGAATAAGATCATCGACCGAAAAACTGACACACGAACAACGGTAACATCAGTCAAGGAAGATCCTTTAAAGGTCAGTGCACCCATTATAACATTACATTACCGGGGTAATGCATCGGAGTGGTTTGCTGCCAAACTGCGTCAAAACGCCGGAGCCCAAGTGATATTTACTACGAGAAAGCTCAAGACTTGCCTACCGTCCCTTAAATCTCCCTTTGCGAAAGATTTGAAATCCAGAGTGGTCTACAAGCTCACATGTAGTGGATGTAATTCCACCTATGTTGGACAAACGGTCCGGCATTTGACCACGCGGATTGAAGAGCATCACAAGGAAGATTCGCCAGTAGGGCAACATTTGAGAGAATGTGACAGGGATGTTGTTGTTGTTGTTGTTGTTGTTGTTGTTGTTGTTGTTGTTGTTGTTGTTGTTGTTGTTGTTGTTGTTGTTGTTGTTGTTGTTGTTGGGGATTCACAGCACTGCTGTTGGGATTCTTGGTCCCGGCGTCTTCTCTAAAACAATGTCCACTTGTTTCTGCACGTGATACAATTACAGAATAATTGCCACGTGCACGTTGTCATTTCTGAAAATCTCTCGTTTACAAATTTCCACATCGTGTTTAAAATTCTCGTCTTGAGGCCGATTCGTTTATCAAAATGAATATATAGTTCTAATCGACTTACAATCCTACTGGTTCTGAAAACAAATTCGTTTCTCGCTTTTTCCGTTCTCACTTTTCGCATCTCAAAAATTTCTGTATTTCTAGCCCGTGTGGTTCGCCTGTTTAACACTATTTCATTTCGTTCAATAGAATCAAGACTGGCAAGAAGTAAGATGTTATTTAGCTGGATGAACATGGGCAGGGGTAAAATGTTTAGCAAGCGTAGTTCGTTGATGTACACTCCCGTTTTATTTCCAGTGATCCAACGGATTACTTTCTTTTGAAATCGCTCCAAGTGCAATTGATCCCCCCTCGATATATGTGTACATGAGAGTCCGTATAATAACACTGGGAGTATTAGTGACTTATACAGGCCTAACTTTACAAACGTATTTATCTTTGCTGATAGGTTTCTTCTCAGGAGGTACAGTACTTGGTTTGCCTTCTTTAATCTTGTTTCAATGTGTACCTTCCAACTTAAATCGCCCGACACAAAAATTCCCAGATCTTTCACAACCATCGATGTTCCAAGCACTACACCAAAAAGCATAGAGTTAGCGTCTCCGCCCCTAAAACTTACTTTTGCACATTTATCTAGTGCAAATTCCATTTTGTTTTCAGTTACCCACTGCTGAGTTTTGTCCAGATCTTCTTGAATTTCAATTGATGTTTTTTTGATGGAAAGTAGTTTAAGATCATCCGCAAAAATATATGGTTCAGAGATATTGAGTACTTCAGGTAGGTCGTTAATAAAAATGCAAAAGAGCAGTGGTCCTAAAAGTGATCCTTGGGGAACACCACTAGCGACGTCTAAAACTTTTGAGCTGATATTGTCTACTCGTACAAACTGTTTTCTGTTTTTCAAATAGTCATAGAGTACCTCTAACATGCAGCCTCCTATTCCTATAAGTGCAACTTTCTTAAGTAGATCAAAATGCGGAACTTTATCAAAGGCTTTTGCAAAGTCAGTGTAGAATGCTACAATTTCTGCGTTTGAGTCATTGTCAAGCGCTTCATATATTTCTTTCAGGAAAGAGAGCATGTTTGTCAAAACTGATCTACCTTTAGTAAAACCGTGTTCATGTTTCGTCAAATACCAGGCAAAGTAAGGGTACAGGTCTTTGTATATACATTTTTCAAGGACTTTGCTGTCAATATTTAATAGCGATACTGGTCGATAGTTGTTCACCATTTTTCGGTCACCTTTTTTGTGAACAGGAGTAACTGCAGCTGTTTTCCATGAATCAGGTATTTTTCGTAGGCATTTTACGTTTCTCAAAAGTTTGTTCATCGGTTTGCATATATTGCGGTTCGTTTTCTGAAAAAAGCTAGGTGGCAACCCATTTGGGCCGCGTGACTTTGTTACGTCCAGAGTTGATAAAATCTCACTTACTGTCTTTTTCGATATATCAAAATTCGTTAACAAGAGATTTTCAAATTGAATATCTCTAATACTAAAACTTTCTTTAGGATTAAAAACTGAATGAAAGAAGTCGTTTAGCATGTTGACTTGTTCGTTTGGATTTGTGCTTTCAACTTCATCTTTTATGAGTAACTTAGGAAGACTTGTATGTTTATTCAAGTTCTTTAGGTGTTTAAAAATTACATTAGTGTTCCGTGTTCTAAACAATTCCTCTTGGTAGTTTTTCCTGTCCAATTCCGATGATTCAGTTACTAAATTTTCAAACAGTTTAACTTGTTGTCTTCTGTAGTTGGTCGGTTTGAGTATACATGATTGCCGTTTTGTTTGTAACTTTTTGGTCAAATTTGAAGTGCTACTTGTTATCCAAGGTGGAAGTGATTTCCTATGTCTTGTTCTGAGAGGCACAAAACTCTTAATGATTTCATCCAAATATTGGGTGTACTCCTCATGCATTTTGTTAATGTTTGTGTGGCATACTGGTTCAAATGGGTTCTCGTTTATAAAATTGTTTATTCCATCAAAATCGGCATTTCCAAAACTTCTAAAATTTTCCAAGTATGGTTTCGGCTCTGATACCGTGCATTCAATAGACAACATTATGGCATTGTGATCTGAGCAGTCATAAATCTTGGAAACGTTAAAATCTTGTTCGGCACTTGTATAGCAATTCCGATAAAAGGCTACGTCTAGTATGTTCTTCACACATGTTGGGAAATCTATCGCCTGCCTAAAGAGTCCATTTTCAAAAATTTGCAGTATTTGGTTTTCTTCCTCGTCAGTACTGGTGAGGGTGTTCCAGTTTGTTTCTGGAAAATTTAAATCCCCACATAAGAGAAGCGGTTTGTTTTTAGGAATGGCTTTGATCAGTTGTTCAAATTCATGCACTTTGTATCTGTAATTACTGTTTTTTGGCGGATTGAAGAATGAGCCAATTATCATTTCAGTTTGATGAAGTTTTATACTACATAGCACACATGAATCAGGAATGTCATGTTTGGTGGATAAGTCCTCGGTAATTAGACTATTCTTGACAGCTATTAGGCTGCCTCCGTGACAGTTTTTACCACTCACAATAGCTCTATCAGATCTATAGATGTTATATTCACTTAGAAAAAGCTCTGATGATTGAATATTCTCGTTAAGCCAAGTTTCGCTTAAGCATATGACATTAAAATTTCCAACTGCAATTGCATTTGCTAGCATAGTTCTTCTCTCTATGTTGATTAGGCTTCTAGTATTTAGTTGCAGAATGTTGAGGAATCCTAGTCAATGCTGGGGTTCCTGAACTTCAGTGTCAATAGTTACTTTCACACCATCATTGAACAATTCTAGATTCCTCATTTTCAGCTTTTCGCGAGGAACGCCTTCATCTAGTAGTTGTCTTCGTTTCTTAAGGATTTCGTTCTTTTTAATTGCACTCTCTTTGGTCAATGCTGGTAGCAGGTAGACCTCTTTTTCGACCAATTGTTCTCGCTTTTCTCGGCTTTTTGCTAGTACTAGTCGTGCTTCATTACCAGCAGTGTTCTTGGCTTCATTCGATTACGATCAAATTTTCCCAGTCGTTTTAGTTCTATTATTTTCGGCTTCACTCCAATTATGTCTAGTATTTCGTTTACTTCGTCATTTGTTGGGACAAGGTTTTCTCCTTTTGTTTTCTCAGGGTCCTCTTTGACCCCTTGTATCCTAAAACTTTGATTTATGTTGTGATCAGAGTTAGATCTGGCAGCATGTTGAGTGGTTTGAGCTTGATTTATCCGGGTGGTGGTTTCAGCAGCTACAACGGCACTATAAGTTTTTTCCACTTTATCGCATGTCGTTTTCATTGCATTTCCAATTTTTTGATCTACTAAATCGGTAAGTCTTCTTTCCATGCTTTTAAGGCTTTCAGTTACATCAATGTTTGAGAGCTTCTCGTCTATGTTGGCCAGGGTTTTGCATCTTATAAAGTTGTCTCGTTCATTATTTTGCACACAAGTATTACAAAGCAACATGACATTCGGCCCTAGTTCTTTTATTCCATTTATGGCCACTAGAGACAACCCAACACAAGTTGGTTCCAAATGCATTTGAGCGTTGCATGCGACACAAGTGTATGTTTTCTCGTTGCCGGCAAAGCCTCTTTTACATGTTTTGCAGTTTTTGCCCATTTTTGCTTATACTATGGATAGAAAAACAGTTAAACCTGGTGGTTCCCGAAAAGGGGAGGCCTGTGGCTCACTCAGGGGAAAAAGAAGAAATAGACAAACCTGGTGGTTCCCGAAAAGGGGAGGCCTGCGGTTCACTATTTCTACTTACGTTAATAGGGGCACTGACAGTTCTTGAAACGACACTCGTAATATACCAGATGTCCTTCTGTATTGCAGATGTTCGAATGTTTATCGTATAAGATTTTATTCTTGAGAATACTTTTAATGCCCTTCAGACCTTCTTCACTGAGGTGCACTTCGTCAGTTTTCAAATGATATGAGCTGTGGATTTTTTCACTCACTCCTCTAAACTTCCAAGTTCCTTTTATCTTTCTTAGGAATTCGTTTATTTTTGCAGATCGAGCTCGGTTCTCACTACGATGAGGGATTCCGATGACGAAAACTTTTTTGGTTCGTTCACACAGCTCCTCGGCTAGCTTCGACAGTTCTTCAGCAATATCGCCTGCAGGTATACTGGAAGGGTCTTTTCCGTTGAAGGCGTCGTTTCCGCCGATGAGCAGAGCGATGATGTTGAATTTGTCTTTCTCGGGTAAGAAGTTTTGGACCGCACCAATTCGGGCCCCAGGTAGGGACAAGATATTGAAATTTGGAAAATCAAGATGGCGTGCTTGAGAATCCGCAATCAGGAGATTTTTTGAAGATGATGTCTTGAGCAAGTGATATCTTCTGTCGGACATTTTATCGCGGGGCAACCATTGCTACCCGGTAAACATTTCAAGTATCTGAAACTATTTAATAATGGTAAGAGCGCTGAGCTTAAGTCTGAGATTATAGATCAATCAAGTAACATACAGAAACTCCTCACTCTGGAGGCCTTACATATTTGGAAAGAACGCCCCAGAATTAACACGCGCGAGGAGTTCAGGAGCAGGGAGCTGACATTAAAATTATAGTACATGTTTAAACATGACTAAAAATTGCAATTTTTGAAAAAATAAACTGACATGTCAGTTTGGATAAAACATCAAATCGAAAAATTATGACTCAAGTAACAAAAAAGTATGGAAATTGTCATAATCGATGAAATAATGATTACGTAATAACAGATGTAAGAATGTGATTGGTTAAAAATTTCTAACATGTTCTTTTTGAATTTCATACATGATCTTTGATCATTTTATTGTAAATAAAAAATTTTATATCCTGACGATGCACAAAATGTGCGAAAACGTTTGCATTAACAATTTTAAAAAATTCTTATTATACTTTTTGGTATTTGATTTTTTTTTAGCTCGAACACCTCGCTTATGGTTTACTTTGAATAGCTTGATCAGAATAGCGACTAAATTTTTGCGAGCCGATTATTTTTAGGAGAGTGGCCTGCTAGTTTGCTTAACTGTAGCACACTTGCGGGAATGTGACATTCGACCAGAATGTAGGAAAATGCAAGGTCAGAAATCGAAATTTTGGACTTTCATGTTAATTTTTAAAATTTCGTTCTAAAGGAAAGACGTGACAACGTCGAGATTTCGCACCAACTGAAACGGCGAAAACACAACGCAGTTAGTCTCAGACAGAAGAACAAGCGAATTCGTAAAGAAAAGCAGAAAACGGAGATTGTGTGATACTGATCGAGATTGGAGAAAACTTTACGAAGACCACATTCCGAGTTGTAACGATTGTGCCGCTACAATCGTTACAACGCGAATCCCGAGAACAAGGAAGGGTGTTGGACGGCGTGTCCAGCCTTCCTGAAAGAAATAAGGACGTTATTTCCCCGGAATCCGGAGGGGTCTCGAGAGGAGAACTCAAACTGTATTTTATAAAATTTTTGCTTCCCCGGGATGTCCTGACTTGAATTCATTTAACATCTAATTTCATTTTCAGATCATGAGAGTAGCCCTGTTTTTAGGAGTGACCTCGTGGTCTGGGGATACTGAGACCCAGCCATGAGCTCACTACTTCTGCATGTAATTAAGTTAATTAGAGCGTTCTGATCGAAGCCGGAAACAGTAACGTTTTTGTCGACCCGATGTTAGAAAGACCACCAAAAGAACTGGCTTTGGCAGAGACGGTGAAAAGCATGTAGAGCTGTGTGTAGACGCTAGCCAGACGTTTTAGAACCTAGCTTTACTTTCCGTCGATATGTACTTCCGAGCGAATGTTACAGAAATTCAGTGTTTTTTTAACGGTAGATGACTTATGCCCAGGCTCAGTTTAACCTTGAACGATTCCAGAAAAGAGCGCTAAAATGGGTAACAAACAGTTATGAGAGTGATTATCTAATCTTGTTAAAACGAACGAATACATTGCCCCTTACTATGTTCATACAGCTATGCAATCTATTGAACCTATCGAGCTTTTTTCACAGTGAAAACGATTTACAAATACGACTATTAACCAACAAGTCTGCCTCAAATACAAGACAAAATGATGGCCCGACATTAAGCCTTAAAAAAGTCCGCACAGAAAAAGCTCGCGCTGAGTTTTGTTTCAGGCTGTCTCGGGTGGCCAATCATCTACCTGGAACAGTAGATTTCTTCAATCCCACGGGGCTAAAAAATAGACTCTTGAATTTTATGTGGACCTATCAAATGGCGAAATTCAATGAGGCGAATCCTTGCACATGGATACTGTTTTGTGATTGTCGAAACTGCAGGGATGTATGGAAGACGTTTTAAGAAGAAATGAACTGGGAGCAGTCCCATCAGAAGTATTTCTGAGAATCCACAACAACAACAACAACAACAACAACCCAGGAACGACGGTGGCCGAGGAAGAAAATAGTAAAGCCGACTAGTATGGAGATTAATGTAATGATGACTAACATCGTTATTACACGGAAGAGCCACTTTTTGAATTTAGTTATTTTAAGATGGGGAATGCCGATACTAAGCTCAATTTTCGAAAAGCTGTCATACAGCTGACCACTAAAACCCAGGTAACGTTACTTAGCTTTATTGTCTTTCAAATCTTTTGTCTTATATTGTACTGTAATTCATTTTATCACAATTTTTTCAATTAACCTCACAATTTAATTTGTAGCCAATTGAGGCAGCCGATCAGCAATTCTGGGAGCAATTTTGGGCGGAAAATGTGAGCAGTGTTCAAGACGTCTTCGCACTGATTCCTGCGGCTGAAATCAGAGCACTAAGAGAGGAATCGCCGTCAAATTTGGCAACACTATGTTACAAGGTAAGGTTATCTTTCTTGACAATTGATCTTGAACTGAAAATAATAATTAGCCATATGTTTTCACTGCGTAAATTTCAGGCAGTGGAACGATTGGTGCAGTCAGCAGAGTCAGGATGTTGCTCAAAGAATGAACAAGCTGCAACGCTAAACTGTGTCCGCCTGATGACCAGAATTCTGCCATACATCTTTGAAGATCCGGATTGGCGAGGTTTTTTCTGGTCAAGTTTGCCATCGTCATCTGACACCAGATCTCGAAAATCAAATGATGAGCAAGTCGAAGATGAAACACCTCCACTTGCGCAATCTTTGTTGAATGCTCTGTCTGTAAGGACATTTCAAGTTATTGTTGCTGTTAAAAATACTGGAAAACAAAATCAATTTTCAATTTAGGATTTGCTTTTCTGCCCGGAGTTTACTGTGCATACAAACCGAAAGGGTCCCGTAAGTATTTTTTTACTTTGACACTATAACCGCAATTTAATAAACTTTTTTTCTTATCTGACGCTTTTTCGTCTTGCAGCATACTCCCGAAGACCTGCAAAGCCTCGATAGTTGTGAGTACATTTGGGCATCTGGAGTTGGATTTGCACAGGAGCCGCCCTATAACTTTACATACGATATGCACCGCACGGAACTGCTGAAACTGCTGCTCACTTGTTTCTCGGAAGCAATGTACATGTCTGCAAATTCAAATGAGTCCGCGGCAAACGCTGCTGCAATGAATCCATGGATATCCTATTTCACATCTTCAGATAATCGGTGTGTACTTTATGTCACAGAATTGCCAGTAGTATAATCTGTGTCCAACGTTGTTTTTTTTGTAGTCACGCTCTTCCGCTGTTCACATCTCTGCTCAATATTGTTTCTTCATACGACCCTGTGGGTTACGGAGTGCCATACAATCACCTCATGTTTCGAGACTACCGTGAACCACTGGTCCAAATTGCGATCCAACTGCTGATTGTAACTTTGGACCACGATGTGGGATCCGGGGCCGCGGATGACCAGCCGGAAGACGAAGCGGACTCAGGTCAACCAGACAATCTGTTCGTGAACTACCTCTCGCGCATCCATCGAGATGAAGTTAGTTTCAACAACAGAAACTTCAATACAAAACGTGAAACTGGATATCTCATTTTAGTCTTTTCTTTATAGCGTTTGATTGAAGAAGTGAGCTTTCTTTTCTCTCCAATTTCTGAAATGTTCAATTGTTTTTTTTCCAGGATTTCAACTTCATTCTGCATGGTATGACTAGGCTGTTGAACAATCCTCTGCAACAAACTTATCTTCCGAACTCAATCAAGAAGATTCAGTTTCACCAAGAATTGCTAGTATTTCTTTGGAAGGTAAAGTATGACAATGTTTTAAATTATAGCTAGGTAAGTTTGTACCAAATATGCAGTTGGAAAGGTTTTTTTTTAGTTCTGTGACGCAAACAAGAAGTTTCTGTTTCACGTGTTGAAAAGCAGCGAGGTTTTGGAGTTACTGGTTCCAATTTTATTTCACCTCAATGACGCCAGGGCAGATCAGTGTATGTATTTCGTGGACTTACATAATATTCTACTCCCCCGATTTCAGGAAATTCTTGAAAAATAAGGAGAAACAAGTGTACGAATCCGAAAAATTAAAACGATTTTTCATTAAAACTTGCATTGGAGGTATTTTTTAAGTAAGAGTTTTATCAAAATCATTAGTAATTGAAGAGCAATGTTGCTTTGAATTTTGTTATTAATGCTTGATTGTTTGTTTTTGTGTTGTGTTTTAGCGCGTGTGGGTCTGATGCACATTGGAGTGTTCATTCTGCTGCTGTTGAGTGGAGAAAGGAACTTCGGAGTTAGGCTGAACAAACCATACAATGTGAGGGTGCCCATGGACATACCAGTGTTCACAGGCACTCACGCAGACCTGCTCATCATTGTGAGTAGTGATTGATCATTGTGAGAGTGTTCAACGTTTTGCTGGGTACGAACTGTTAGTGATAGGGGTGGTTCTTAGATTGAAATAGGTGGTGTTAAAATGTTGATTGCAATGGTATACATAATTCGCAAAATTCCTGTTTTATGGCAGAGGTATTCGCATGCACACAGGGCATCTTCTCATTAATTCAAAAAACTAATTTTTGATTTTGTTCAAGATGAAGCCATCAGAGCGCTGATTACTTATACTAGTTCGTGTTTTCTTATGCTAAGAATTTATATGCAGCCTTTGTTTCATAAAAGAAAATGTGCGCTAGTATTAGCCTTTTCATGGCGTTATCTTGAAAACAATCATAAAATATTCAATGCTGTATTTTGAGTTAATGAGAAGCTACCCTGTGCGCATGCGAAAACCTATGCATAAGTTATTAGAATAATAACTGTTTTGTGTGTCGCTCTTCAGGTGTTCCACAAGATCATCACCACTGGCCATCAGAGACTGCAACCCCTGTTCGACTGTCTCCTCACCATAGTGTGCAATGGTAACTCATCTCTTTTAAAAATAAAATGTCGTTCTAATTAAATTGAATCGTATTTAATCTGCTTGCTTAAAACCAATTGCACATAAATCTTATTGGAAGTCCGATTACTTGTTGGTTTCGGTAACCGTTCTGGATATGAATAGAATTTAACTTGACCCAATGTGTATGTTTTTAGTTTCTCCATATCTCAAGTCGCTCTCAATGGTGGCATCCAGTAAACTGCTGCATTTACTAGAGGCGTGTATTCATTTTTTTTTTTGACTTTCGATGTTTGTCCTATGTTTTTGATTTTGTTCTGGTGTTGATAGGCGTTCTCGACCCCCTGGTTCCTGATTTCGTCGCCGACCAATCACCACCTGGTGTTCTTCTTGCTGGAGTCATTTAACAACATCATTCAGTATCAGTTTGACGGCAATTCAAATCTCATCTACACAATCATACGCAAAAGACACGTGTTTCACCAGGTAAACAACTTACTTAATCCTTGGAAAAATGACCAGTAAAAATGTTAACTAACCCAGTTAGCAGCAGCATCATTTCACATTCTTTTAACCATGCGCCTTTGAACCTCTCTTTTAAACCCTTAAAAACAATATATAACACCTTAACCTCATTTTCATTCGAATAATTAGATTCAAATAAAAATCACTTCAAAGTAGACACGGTCATAGATAGTGAAACATCACAGTGTGAAGTCAAACAAATGATCCTATCTTTATTTACACTAGCGGTCTTAAGCCAGCGTAGTGTAATAGTACGACTATTTAAAAAAAAATTAAGTCGCAAATATTGCTGCCAATTTTGGGGCACCTTTACAGCTTTTTGATAGCATGTGCTTTGACATTCAATTAGTAGTAAGTTAACTCAGTCGATACATTTTTAGTTTTTGAAATGAACCGAAAAAAAGCTATTTGTTCCAAACAACATAAAAACAGATTTCAGAATTTGTCTAACTCAATATATCTCAATATGTTTTTGAAATACATAATTTATACATAGTGGTTTTGTGCTTTGCGATTTGATACATGTAAAGTTAATGTGGATGCCTTCTGTTTGTTATATTCCAAATTAGTACTTGCCAAATTGTGTCTATTTGTATTTGGTGCCATTGCTGAATGGCGTTGGCAATTTTTTTTAGCATAGGTAGCTGCTTTATTCGTGACTAGTTTTGTCGATGGTTAAGCGTGCGTGGCTGAGTGGTTAGTGCTTGAGACTCAAATTCTCTTGATTGCAGTAGGTCGCAGATCGAATCCTAGACCTAGCCGAATTTTTGCTACTTCGAGGCTTATTTCCATTTTTCTTCTTAGAGCTGCTTTTTGTCGTGTTCTCGCTTCTGTTTGTGAAGCGAAGGTTTGCCTCTGTTGCACTTGCGATCAGCTTAGTGAATTATGACGAACCCTCTTTGTCTAACCTAACTCACAAAGAAAACTGTTCCTTAAAAGTGTTCGCTTATTTGGAATTTTCACTGTAGCATTGGAAATTTCATAGCATCTGTTCTCTGCTTTTTTATTTGTTGCTTGAGTTTGGTGACTATTAAGCTTCCGTGGCTAAATGGTTAGCGTGTGAGTCTCTTCATCTCTAGGTCGCAGGTTTGAATCTCAGAGGTAGTCTAATTTTTACTATTTCGAATCTTGTTTCTAGTTTTTCTTATTGCTCTCTGAAGGGCTGCTTTTTGTCGTCTTCTCACAAAATTTTGCGAATCGACGCGTTGTCTCTATGTTAATTGAGCAAATGAACCAAAAAAGCTACGAGTTTCAAACTGCATTACATTTTAAAAACTTGAATTAAGAAATTTTCCAATAACATATCTCGCAATTTGTTTTTTGAAATGCATGTTTATACAAAATTTGGCATCATGCTTTCCAATTTATTACAGGCAAAGTTAGTTTGGAGGTCTTCTGCTTGTTACATTTGAATTTTTTACAACAAATTTGCTTTTTATTGTATTTGATGCCAATTTCGCTGCATCCCTCAAGCAGTTTATAAACATATGTTGCTGCTTTTTTGTGAAAAGTGTTTGCCGATATTTAAGAGTTCGTTGCCGAGATGGCAGGTAGAAAGACTTCTAATCTCGAGGTTTCAGTTTTGAAACCGATACGTAGCAAACTTGAACTAATTCGAGGCTAATTTCTACTTTTTCTTGTTTCACTTTATAAACCTGCTACTTTGTCGTGTTCTCACTAGTGTTTTCGTAGCGCAGCTTCGCCTGTGTCAAACAAATTACTATAAATGCTTAGCATTTTATTTAATGCCAATGAACGTAGTGAACACACTTATATAGGTTGTTATGATTTTTTGTTTCTTTTCCGAAAGAAAGTCTTAATTTGTTCACGCTCAAATTTGGTTTTCCGCGGTATGATCACTTTTGATTCCTTTCAAAACTAAATTTCCTGTGTTCAGTAGTTTTCCTTTGTTAAAAGGAAAGCAAACTCCATTATTGAACAGCAAAAGTGTAAAAGTTACGAAAAACGTGACACACTTCTAGTTTCGAAGGTGGATTTAAACTATGTGAGACTCCTAATCTACTGTACTTCCAATTACATGAGACTCCTAATCTACTGATTCGAGATTCAAATCCGGAATATTGAAATAGTCTTACGTTTTATTTGGTAGCACTTCTGCTGCATTTTTTTTGGAGAGCTAAAGCGGCTCAAGTCCAGGCTTGTGCAGTTTTGTGCGTGCATCTTTGAGATAAAAAGCATCTGAACAACTTTGATTCCGGGAAATTTGGGACTCGAATCACTTTATTTTGTTGACTATCGGTCTTCAAAGCTTCTAGTAATCGTAAACATCTAACCACTGTCGTAAGTTTTCTAGATTTTATTTGAAGGAATGCATATACACGAACAGGAATTGTTGTCCCGACCATTGAAAATGGAGAGGAATTTTGTATTCGGGTGTGTTTTCGTTTTTTGCTTTTTAATTTTTTTTTGTTTTCCACGCAAAATCATGTACCACAAATAATCCATGGTCGAGTGATATAAGCCATGGTCGAGTGATATATCTTATAATAAAAGTTCTTCTAGTCTAGATTCGAATGACATTAAAAACTTCCAAAACAATTTTCTAGTGTCAAGAAAAACCGGTTCGAATTTTTTTTTATTTTTTGTCTTTTTTCGAGCGAGTAAAGCAATCCAAAACGAGTTTTTTAGTAACATCAAGTTTATATAGCCTAAATTTCTAATTCTTATGTATTATATATATATATATAAGAATTAGAAATTTAGGCTAAATAAACTTGATGTTAATAAAAAAACTCGTTTTGGAAGCTTCATTCAGTTTTTTTTCTGGCAAAAAAATCTTTCAAACATATTTATATTTCAAACATATCTTCCATACATAATGTTAACTGCTAAAAATTGGGAAAAAAATGAAAAATTTTCGAAAATTGTTTTTATTTTTCAATTAATTTATTTTTTTGAAGATCATTGGATTCGTTTATGCCGAATTCACTAAGTTTCTAATCGTTTGTATAGTGTTATAATCACACGACGTACAAAAAAGACAGCAACTTGAAGAAGTTTTGTTTTCTTCTGAAAATGTGTTCAGAACATTCTGTGCTACTTGCACTGCAACCGGCTATAATTGTTTTAGTTTTGCAATTAACAGAATTTTCGTGGCCTGATACTACTACTTTTTTGGAAATAGTGTTAAATTGAAGGACGCTTCGAAAATGTTGCCAAGACTAAAGAATGACAGAAGGATTTCTATGACAAGGCTTTACTTTATATATGCCTTGAGTTATCATTCAACTTGATGTGTCTTAAAGTGGAGTTAATTGTGGTTTACACTGAAGGTAAAAGCTTCTAATTACTTTCTATCAAGCGTATCAATTTAATTAACAGTAGTCATTGTGACTCTAATTAAGCTGCATGAATTGAAACGTACGATGGTCTTGTAGAGAACTAAAACTGAAATGAATTACTTAAATTGTCCTGATAGAATTGGGTTGGAACTATAGTAGAATGAGTATTTTTAATGAGCTGAGAAGACAAGTGGTTGAAATAAAGTGGGTCAAAAATGTAGGACACCGAATTCTACTAATGTAGTTCTCAGACAAAACTGACATTGGATAAAGTAGCGGAATCGTTCCTTCCAGAAACGCAGTGTAATAGTTTGGTTTCAGTTGAAAATGTCTCTGCTATTGTGCACAAATGATCTGTTTAACTGTTTTAGTTATCGAATCTTCCGACTGACCACCAAGCGTTGATGAAGATCATGAGTCGCAAACGGGAGCGAAGAGGAACAATATCCCGAGCAGCGAACATCACCAGTCAAGCATTCAACGGTTCCCCCCATCATGCACCTACGTCTCCACCTCCTGTCACGCCCACTAAGAAAACAATCAATACCGGGGATTCACAGGATACGGAAGCAGGGGAGCAGAGCGGGGTTGAAGTATCCAGGGCACGCGTCGTGGGAGGAGTTGAGCCAAGTATGGAGGGTTCGAGGCCAGCTCAGGATGCGGAGCCGGGAACATTGAAGGCTTCGTTAGCTGCGACCCCCGGTTAGATAATCCACAAGCTGTGTTAAGAGTAATGAACGTAGTGAAGACTCTTATATAGGTCTTGGTCATTTTTTTCATGAAAATGTCTTAAAATGCTCCAATGACTACAGATGTGCATTCGTACATATTAATGCGTTCATGAATGATTTTTGGTATATATGCTATTTTTGAGTTCAATTTCAATTCATCTGCAGAAAGTTACGTACATAACACTCTACAAATACGAACTTGGAAATAGTGCGAAAAAATGTGAACGATTTTTAGTTTCGAAAAGGCAGTTTAATTTTTGGATTTCCAGCGGAATAAAAAATTACCTATTGATCCAGTTTTCTCAAGTTGGGTTAATGTTATCAAAAAATCGCCAAGCATAAACTGTTCTATAAATTCAAAGAGCTTAAGGGGCATCTATTTTTTTCTTTGAAATTCGAAAGTTGGATTTTTTCAAGAAAGTCAGTGTTTTTTTTTCTGTTTACTCGCGTTTATTATTCTTTTCCAACGGTCAGTTGGCTATGTTTTAAAGATTTGATAATGATGATTCATTATTTGCTATGTTTTCCCCGGAACACTGTAAATATTTATATATTTTTTGATCGAATTAATGAGAGATCGAAATAACTTATTATTTGTTTTTAGTGTACTTTGACATATTCCGACCCTTCACCGGTAAAAATGACTCATGAATTGAATAACAGCGTTTTTCCATTGATTGTAACGTTCTAACACGTCAATTTCATCTTGCGTTTTTTATTTAGCTATTGCTCTAACTTTTCAGTTGACACTGAATATGACAGTGTCAAATTAAACTTTTTAACATTACTGCTTTGAATCACTGCTTTATGATTACTCTAACTAAAATCTAACGATAAGCTCAAAATACCTCCAATAAATTGATTCATTGCCGAGGAATGGAATATTGCAATTTAGCCTGCCTGTTTTGACTAAATGAGAAGCAAAATCGAGTTGACAATAATTTCGTTCGATAGCGTAATATTTGATGTATATATATGTGAATAATCCTTAAATGACTTGTTCAGATCTTGAAAAACTGACTGAGAAGGTGCGACCAGCTCCTCCTCATGACTTAATCGGGGGCATCCAGGGTGGAACTACATTGCAGCCAGGTGCAGCTTCTGGCACTGAAGCCAATAACTCATTCCAACATTATGCGGAGATGCCAAATACACTCAAGGTGAAAATGGACGGAGGGGCTGCTGCCAGTTTGAATACAAGTGTCTCGGAAATTGCAAGTCGGTCTAAAGGGGCAAAGATGTCTCCCCCTCCCCCATTGCAAGTGGAGACAGGGGAGGGTAAAATGGACAGGTCACCCGAGGGTGCGCTGGACTCAATGTCTAACAAACAGTCCCTCGCGTCCCCGGCTGCGTCGTCTGTGTCAAGTCTTCAATGGGTCCCCACTCCAGACTGGGTAAGGAGTAAGAAACCGATATGCGACATAAATTGTGTGTTCGATGCGAGAAAATTTTAGCTTTCCTCGAAGTCAATTTCCCAATTGATTGTTACCTAACATTTTTATTTTTAATTTGCTGTAAAAATAGACTGTCCTTTCTTCGTGTGCTTTGGAATCAAAGTATTGTTCGTTTTAGGTTACCAACTGGAAGAGTAAGTTGCCGCTGCAAACCATCATGCGATTGCTGCAAGTACTCGTACCCCAAGTGGAGAAGATATGCATTGACAAGTGAGTATTTGCTTCAGACTTCCCAGCGGAATAGAAACTTTACCGATTAATCCTGTTTTTTCAAATTGGGTTAATTTCATCGAAAAAGTTTCATAAATTGCTTTGGAAATTCGAAGAGCCGTAGGCCGTATTGTTACTTTGAAATTGGATTTTTTTCCTGTTTCTTTGTCTTCATTGATTCTTGTCCAACCGTCTGTTGGCTGCTTTTGTGTTCAGTCGCTGTTTTTGCTCTAATATCATAGCCATACGTATTAGGGGACTGACAGATGAGTCTGAGATCCTTCGGTTTCTCCAACATGGAACTCTGGTCGGCCTCCTGCCCGTGCCCCACCCCATTCTGATACGAAAGTACCAGAGCAATGCTGGCACAGCTACCTGGTTCAAGACATACATGTGGGGTATTATATATCTCCGTAATGTGGATCCACCCATCTGGTACGACACAGATGTGAAACTCTTCGAGATCCAACGTGTCTAAGTAGGTCCGGATCTTTCTAAAATCATCTAGAGGTGGAACACAGAAAGGGTATATTTTGAGTCCGCTTCATGACAGTCCACTTCATCTGTTGGTCAATCTTACTGGGCAGTAACTACGATCGGTGAAGTATCACAAAAGCAGTAAAAGTAATCAAATGATGTTTAAAGTTTTCAAACTATTACTTTTGGCGTCGTGACGTTAATTATGATGGATATTATTTGTATATTTCGAAAGAGATATTTGTTGTCCGTTTGAAGAAATCAGCTCATATTTGCGCTACTTACTTTTGTAAATTGGGAGAAAGTTGTGTCGCTTTGTATAATATGTTATTCGGAATAAGTTAAATTGCTGTTGTAAATTGTAATTACGTTATTAATTAATATTATTCATAGATTAGCTAGGTTTCCCAGACGGTATTTTTTGAAGAAATTAGTTACTACATTTTGCTGCTTTATGTTTCAGGCTTTTGATGAACAAGTAATAATAGCAATTGATGTATATTTTTTCTGTCTCCCTTTAAATTTTGCATGAAAATCAGATTTGGTTAGTAATTTGGAGGTGCTAAATATTCAAATTTTATCAATTTCTATGCGAAAGAGCAAATTGTGAACTATAAAGATAAGTTTGTATTTAGAAATTGTCATCGATGAAATCTGTTGTCATGCATGTTTGGGTTCGGTTGTAATATATTTTAAGATAGTTTTGTTGGGTTTGATTTCTTGTAGTAATCAAATCCAAGTCAATTGTAAAGTTGATTGCAGAAGCTTTTACCATCTCCAAGTCGATCGTTTCATTTGGATTACAAGGAAACAATTTTTCTTCGTGCACGCCTGTAAGAGTTTCTGAAGTATGGTTTCCCTTAAGTCACATAAACCTAGATAGAATTGATTTTTATTTTTTTTACACTAGCGAACTTAAGTGAGCGTTAGTGTTATATTACGACTATTCTTTTTCTCTAACCTAAGTCGCAAATATTGGTGCCACTGTTGGGGCACCTTAAGGCTTTTTGATAGCATGTGCTTTGACGTTCGATTAGTAATAAGCTCACGCAGTTGATGCACTTCTCATTCTTCAAATGAAACGAAAAAAAGCTATTTGCTTCAAATATCAATGCTATATTAAAAACTCGATTTCAGAAATTTTCTAACTCAATATATTTCGCAATTTGTTGAAATGCATGATTTATACATAATGTGGCCTTAGGCTTTCCAAATTATTACATGCAAAGGTAGCGTGGATGCCTTAGGTTATTTATATTCCAATTTATTACCTGCTAAATTATGTCAAAAACCGAAAAAAAATCATTGCGACCTAGCTAAGAGTCTGAACTACTTTCATCGACTTTTTAAAAAATGAAAGGTAAAAATAAACCCGAAAATTGAATCTTTCGCTATGCGGATTCAAACATACGACTAGGTGGTTTGGTTTTGCACGTCCTCGCTTCTGCGCCAAGGGGCCCTTGAAAATTACAAACTAGCCACCAATAAAGTAGCTGCATATGCTAATAAATTGCTAATGCGATGCCGCAAACTGAAGACATTCTCTAATTTTGCATGCAATAGACTGAAAACCATAAAACCAAATTATAAATTATCCATCTCAAAAACTTGCGATATATATTGAAGTTGAAAATTTTTCAAATTCAGTTTAGTACTGAAACATAGCTTTTTCAGATCAATTGGGTTATGTTTTATCAAATTTCGAAGCAGATGATATCAAAAAGCAAAATTAGTGGATGTCTTAAGTTTGCGGCATCGCATTAGCAATTTATTAGCATATGCAGCTGCTTTATTGGTAGCTAAACTTTGTAAATGTTCAAGGGCCCTATGGCGCATATGCGAGGACGTGCGAAGCCAAACCACCTGGTCGTATATTTGAATCCGCATAGCGAAAGATTCATTTTTCGGGTTTATTTTTACCTTTCATTTTTTAAAGAGTCGATGAACGTAATTCGCAATGATTTTCGGTTTTTTTTTCAGGAAAGTTCTTGAAATTTGTTCTGGCTCATTTATTGTTTCGCAGTGTGATTTTTGATTTCTAGTGACTTTTCAAATGTCAATCACAAGCTTTAGGTCATTAATTTGTTCTTCGAAATTTGGGATTTTTCAAAGCAAAACAAGTCATTTTTTTTCCTGTTTAATCGCGTTCATTGACTCTTTTCCAACTGTCTGTTGGCTATGTTTTCATTTGTCACTGCTAATTTTTGTCGTTTTCTCGCTTGTGTTTGCGAAGCACAGCTTCGCCTCTTCGTTAGCTTCTAAATTTTCAATGAATGCAAAAATCTTTTCATACAGTTTTTTAGTGTCGATGAAAGTAGTCGTGGTCACTTTGTCTTTTCAAGAAAAAGTCATAGAGTTTGTTCACGCTAAATTTGATCTTTAGCGGTTTGACCTTCGATGTATCTTAAAGTGCAATTCAGTTCATTTGCCTTAGGTTATTTATATTCCAATTTATTACCTGCTAAGTTATGTCAAAAACCGAAAAAAAATCATTGCGACCTAGCTAAGAGTCTGAACTACTTTCATCGACTTTTTAAAAAATGAAAGGTAAAAATAAACCCGAAAATTGAATCTTTCGCTATGCGGATTCAAACATACGACTAGGTGGTTTGGTTTTGCACGTCCTCGCTTCTGCGCCAAGGGGCCCTTGAAAATTACAAACTAGCCACCAATAAAGTAGCTGCATATGCTAATAAATTGCTAATGCGATGCCGCAAACTGAAGACATTCTCTAATTTTGCATGCAATAGACTGAAAACCATAAAACCAAATTATAAATTATCCATCTCAAAAACTTGCGATATATATTGAAGTTGAAAATTTTTCAAATTCAGTTTAGTACTGAAACATAGCTTTTTCAGATCAATTGGGTTATGTTTTATCAAATTTCGAAGCAGATGATATCAAAAAGCAAAATTAGTGGATGTCTTAAGTTTGCGGCATCGCATTAGCAATTTATTAGCATATGCAGCTGCTTTATTGGTAGCTAAACTTTGTAAATGTTCAAGGGCCCTATGGCGCATATGCGAGGACGTGCGAAGCCAAACCACCTGGTCGTATATTTGAATCCGCATAGCGAAAGATTCATTTTTCGGGTTTATTTTTACCTTTCATTTTTTAAAGAGTCGATGAACGTAATTCGCAATGATTTTCGGTTTTTTTTCAGGAAAGTTCTTGAAATTTGTTCTGGCTCATTTATTGTTTCGCAGTGTGATTTTTGATTTCTAGTGACTTTTCAAATGTCAATCACAAGCTTTAGGTCATTAATTTGTTCTTCGAAATTTGGGATTTTTCAAAGCAAAACAAGTCATTTTTTTTCCTGTTTAATCGCGTTCATTGACTCTTTTCCAACTGTCTGTTGGCTATGTTTTCATTTGTCACTGCTAATTTTTGTCGTTTTCTCGCTTGTGTTTGCGAAGCACAGCTTCGCCTCTTCGTTAGCTTCTAAATTTTCAATGAATGCAAAAATCTTTTCATACAGTTTTTTAGTGTCGATGAAAGTAGTCGTGGTCACTTTGTCTTTTCAAGAAAAAGTCATAGAGTTTGTTCACGCTAAATTTGATCTTTAGCGGTTTGACCTTCGATGTATCTTAAAGTGCAATTCAGTTCATTTGCTAAAAGGCAGGGAAAAACGAGTAAGGAAAGCTGAAATTGTTGAGAAATGAAAGCGGAAATGGCGCAAAGCAGCGTAAACAACATTAATGTCCGATAGTGGATTTTATATTTCAGGTTTCCCAGCGGAAAATTAAGTGCCATATTGATCAAGTTTTTTTCAAATTGGGCTAACTTTATCAACGAAGTGTCCGTCAAAAAACATACCTGAATTTCTGAGAGCCTGAAAGCCATGTCTTTTTCTGAATCATTAACGTAGTGAAAGTACTTATATAGGTCTTGGTGTTTTTTTCGAATTAGTCTTATAATTTTTTTGCGGCTTGACTTCTTTCTGAGTTCAATTCATTTCTTCGTTTACACAAGCAAAGCTTGTGTTATATTATGAACTCTTTTTTTGCAACCTACGTCGCAAATATTGTTGCGACACAAATATTGTTGCGACAAATTGTTCATTTTGATCAATAACTGGTTTTGAATTTGACTGGTACTGCTAATGCGTCATAATTGGCGAGCGTCACTTGAGCAATTTTGTAGAATCGAAGTTTTACTCATTCAGTTTTTACCACTTATTAACACTTTTCCAACCATGTCTTCAAAAATAATGCCCCGAATGATCGCCTTGTGAAATTCAATTATCTCAAAGGCTGTGAAAAACGTTTCATTATCTGATGTAATATAATTTGTCTTAATTTTCTACGATTTTTTTTTTGGGTACGATTCTTTGGCCATAGGATAGGAACCCATCGTGATGAAATTTTGCGGTCCTTTGCTACACTGAACATTATTTAAGGTTTGCAAAATGGATTCGGTATAGCCTTGAAAGTACCACCCAATTAACTTTCTTCACCGGTTTCTCTTCGCTGGTTTATTACAGACTATCTATGTTCGGTTAATTTTTTAAAAAAAATTGTCAAACTTAGGTTTCATTAGTGAGATATGGGATGGAAAAAGGTTTTGATTCCGGAATTCAATTTAACTTAATTTAACTCGTCCTTAATCTTTGTGACTTTTTTGTTGGATCATTTTGGATTTGAGAAATTTTTGAAATTTCTCTACCCGGTAGCTTTTAATAACAGGATTGTGGCTTTTGTCTTCTGGATTTTGAAGAACTTCCGTAATGACTAAGTTCGTGAATAATCTACGTACACAATTGTGGATAAAACAATAACAATGAGTAGCGAATTCTGCATTGCATTATTTTTTTCATCTCAATCCATCATCAGTTACAAGATTTTGTCCACCGTACTTGAACAGAACAATCTTGAAAGTTTGGAGTTTTAGTTATTAAGAGCCAGTGAACATAAAAGGCTCTAATAACTACAGATGTGCATTGATACATATTAATGCAATTATGAATGCACTTAGGTATATGTATGTACTTCACGAGTTCAGTTCAATATCATCTAAAAAAATTTGCCCTTTCCAAATACGAAGGTGGAAATGGCCTCAAAAAACGCAAATAACTTCTAGTTTCGAAAGTAGGTTTTAATTTTTGGATTTAGCAGTCTAATAAAAATTTTACTTATTCAAAGAGCATTGAGGCCATATATTATTTAATTTGAAATTCAAAATTTTTCTGTTTTTTTTTCTGTTTCCTTGCGTTCATTGACTGTTTTCCAACTTTCTGTTAGCTATGTTTTGATTTGTATTTTGGAATTGCGGAATCAAACGTTTTTTGTAGTGTGCAGACAATTTTCATTCTAATTATTGCGACGACTTGAAAAATGGGGAGGAACTTTTTATTCGGGTGTGTTTTTGTTGTTGTTCCGGCCATTGAAAATGGGGAGCAACTTTGTATTAGGGTGTTTTAGTTTTTTTTCTATTTTAGTCTTATTTCGATCGAATAAAGGCGAGCTAGCCGGCGAGAATAGTTTATTTATGCTTAATTTAAGTCGCGAAAATTAAGTTTCAGTCAAGTAAAAGTGTTTTTAGGATTTTTTTCTTCGAAAATTTGGGGTTCGCTATGACTGACGATTATGCCTAGTTTGTATTTTTTGGTCAGATCCTTTCATCACACAACATAGAAAAAAAATAATTATTTGAAAAACTTTTGTATTTTGTATGACTATAGTTGGAACTTTCCCACGTGCTGTTTGCCCTGTGAAAAAAATCTCAGCAAAAAAAATAAGTTTTGATTTTTTTAAATAATTTTTGTTTTCCTAATCAATTGTCTACAATTTTTGCCTATTTTGCTATGACATTCGTATATTCCTAAGTTCCAATTTTTCGTTCAGATCCTTTTATCATACCACGCTGAAAAAAAACGACACTAATCTGAATTTTTTCTAGACTGTGGTCGGAAGATTCTGTGTTACTTGCACAGTAACCGGCTTTCCTTGTTGTAATTTTGCTAATATTTTATGGTTTCCTTCATTCAGTTGAACGGTTTAAAGACTGTTAAACTTGTCTGATATAAATTATTGGAACAATGGCAGTCAAAGGAAGCCAAATTTATATAGGAGTAAGTTAAATTTAAGTGAAGCCAAATTTAAGTGAAATATAGGAGTAAATCTTTCTTATTCCATTGTTGATGAATCATTTTCCATTAATCGGCTAATATAACCGAAGGAAAGAAGTGGTTTAACAAGACAATTTATGGTTTAATAAGAAATAAGATGTTTTAATGAAATTGACAAAAGCATAATTTCAAAGAAGTTCGATGATTGAAACTAACTATCAGTTAAGATGATGTTGGTTCATTGTGTATTAATTTCAGGTGACTGCATGTATGGATTTGAGTGAAATAGAGGCTGAGTTGGCAGAGATTGAGCGGAAGGAAAGTGCAATAGATGGAAAGATTGGCCAACTACTCAGAGATCAACACAACGTGAACGATTCTCTCTCTTCTGTCTTCCAAATCTCCAAACAACTCACAGCTGTAGATTCAGATGTGGAGACACTGCATGACAAACTGAAAGACACAGCGGCCTTATCGGACAAAATCAGCAAACGGGTAGGGATCGAGTACAGAGAAAATTTCCAAAATTTTGCCCTTATAAGCATAAAACGACTGGTAAGATGTATGGTATGCTATCACCGAGCACTCTTGGATTCTATCACTATACTTTATTAGAGATGGCTAAAGTAATTAAAAGGCTCTGCAGTTTGTCGAACGGCTTCAAAAGTTTAATTTTGTTGGAATCTATGAAGAGATTCATCGAAGATCACCTGCGCACCTAGCGAAAGCTCTAGATCGTTCCCTGAAGGATCCTCGTTTAATTTCAGGTGCGTCACCTGGACAAAGTGAAAACGAGAGTGGAAGCTGTGATCCAGCGAGTGGAAGACATTTTGGACTTGAAGAACTGCACAGACGGCATCAAAATAGCCCTGGACAACGAGGACTACGAGATAGCAGCTGGACACATCCATAGGTACAGAACATTAGACACCAACTTCCTGAAGAACAATGCGAGTGAGAGTGTGAGTATCGAGGCCTCAATTGAGATTCTGGAGAATGCGGAACAGCAAATGCAGAAAGTGGCTCGCATGAAGTTCGAGAACGCATACAAGGCTAGTGCATAATTTAATAGCGCTTTTTCTCTTATTTAGGTCTCGCATTTTCTAAAAGTGATTATGAAACAAAAGGAATAGGTTCATTCGCTTCATTTATTTGTTTTTCTGACACGAAAAGTTTTAAAAATAGTGTTAATTTAAGTCTCAATTTAACATTTGAGGTTTGACTTCGATTTCTTTTAGAAGCACTGAATAATCATGTGCTAAATGTAAAGCATTTTACGTTCTTCGATAAAAAATTGTAATGGTGCAAAAAGGGAGGATTTTGTCAATTTCTTCGGATTTTGTCATATTCTTTATCCTTTTAGAACAATCTTACTGACTAAATTTTTTTTACGTCCTCAATTTGTTGTTCCGACCATTTGAAAAAGGGGGAGGAAATTTGCATTCGGCTGTTTTAGTTTTTTTCTTTTTCCACGCAAAATCAGCTACAATAAATAGTCATCGGAGAGAATTGAGTGATATATCATACTTAAGCCCTTTCAGTGGTGATTTGAACGACATTAAAAAATTTTGAAAACGTTTACCCTGTGTCGAGACCAATCGGTTTGAAATTTTTGATTTTTCGTCTAAATTCGAGCGAGTAAAGCAAGCGAGCATGCTTATTTATGCTTAATTTAGACCGCATACAATAGCCTTTTTATGCTTAATTTTAATTTTATGCAAGTAAAATTAGTTTTTGGAGTTTAATGCCATTTTGAGAATAAAAAACTTCAAAAGTTCAAAAAATTTATTTTATTTTTTTATTATTTTTTGATGTTTTTTTTATGTTTCCAGTCATTTTTCTTCCAAAATTGTTCTCCTGTTTACCTCTATTACTATTACCGTCGAATATGCCTACATCATAGTTTTCTGTCAGATCCTTTTATCAAACCACGCAGAAAAACAACACTAATTTGGCAAAAAATGTTCCTGTAGTTTTTAAGACTATAGTCGGAACATTCTGTGCTACTTGCACATTAACCGGCTATCCTCGTTTTTGATTGAATTTTAGACTCTTGAGTTTTAGTCTAAAGCTCCCAGTTACCTATTCCGGTCTCCGTTTTATTGCGAGCCTTTTTTTTAAATTAAAGAAGCTTAGTTTTCTTAAATTTATGTGCTGAGTTTTTGCTTAAAACAGTAAAGTTTTTGCTGCTTGTATTTGAGAACAGTCACGTCTTATGGCTGAGAGGTCCTTGCTTCTGTATTTTGATAACGTAGTGAAGACTCTTAAATAGTTCGTGAGTCTGTTTTTTTTTCGGGAAAATCTTCAATTTTTTTCACGCTCAAATTTGCTCACTTCATCATTTTTACACATGCATAGCTTGTGTTATAGTATGAACTATCTTTTTTTTCCAAACTAAGTCGCAAATATTGTTGCGATGCAATTGTTGCGACTAAATGTGTTCATTTTGAATTGTTCAGCTATTAAGTACAGCCAATGCTAAGGATATTAACACAGACTATTATATTACAAATAGCAAGCTTCGAGGTATCATGGATCTGTAGCGTAGAAGTAGGGAAGGAGACCAGCAACAAAATAAGAGCGTTCGAACCTGGGCAGGGTCGGATGTTTTTAATGAACTTTTTTGTATACTAGTTAAAATGCGTCCGCTCTATAAATTGGGCATGTTAGTTGGTAACTTTCTTTTTTTTTTCAAATTGAGTGGTACTGCCAGTGCTTTATAATTGGAGTGCGTCACTTAGCAGTTATGTAGACTCATAATTGGCGTGCGTCACTTAAGAAATTTTGTAGACTCAAAATTTTACTCATTCAGTTTTTCTCCACTAGCGTTATTGGTCATATTTTTGCTTTTGTATGCGAAGTGCAACTTCGCCTCTGTGTTAAATAGATTTCGTGGTTTTACTGTTCGTGTTTTTTAAATATATTTCGAGATTTTTTTGTTTTTTGGGAAAAATCAATTTTTTTTACATTCAAATTTGTTTTATCTCCTTTATTAATAGGAAGGCAAACTCCATTATCGAACAGCAAAAATTAACAGGTCACAAAAAATTTGGGCGATTTCCAATTTCGAAAGTGGATTGTAATTTTCAGATTTTGCAGCTGAATAAAAATTTAGCATATTGATTCAGTTATCTTAAATTGAGTTCGTTTTATCAAAAAGTAATTTTTTTTTTTCAGAATTTCAAATGAGTTTTAAGGCAATCTATTTTTTCCCTGGAAATGTGAAAGAGATTTTTTTATCAAAAAACAAGTCAGTATCTTCGTTCTGTTAACTTGCGTTCGTTGACTCTTTCCAACTGTCTGTTGGCTGTGTTTAGGTATGAAAAAACGAAATGATTTTCACTTATATAGGTCTCTATGATTTTTGTTTTTTTTTCCGCAAAAAATGTCAAAACGCTCTAATAACTACTGAAGTTCATTCATACATTTTATTGCATTTATGCCCTTTATTGTATGTATGCCCTTTTTGAATTCAATTCAAATACATCTGGCAAACGGTAAGCAAACTGCGTTCTGCAATTACGGAAGCGGAAATGGCGCGAAAATACCTGAATTACTTCTAGCTTCGAAAGTGGATTTAATGTTAAGATTTCCCAGCGGAAGGAGCATTTTGTCCATTGATCCAGTAAAGCTGCATCAAATAGCGTGCCTCACATCAAAGTGAAGCAATTTTGAGCCGAAATATTTCGGCGCATTTGCTGCTTGCTTATCGAAAACTAAAATGTTGCTGCGTGCATCAATCCCCATAAAAATGCAGGTAGAAGATCTTGTTAAATATGAACTAGAAACATCCCAATTTATAGAGAGCCTGAAGACTTTTCGGTCGTTATAAATGAAGTACCTTTTAATGAAAAACTGACATTGGTTTCAATAGAAAAGCACCCAATTAGAAACATGTCATCTCTTTCCTTATGGATTCAATGCCTTGGGTTCAATATGTAAAGATATTTTTCATGCCATTAAAGCGTAAGCGGAGATTTAAAGCGTCTAAGAAATCGTTCCAAAATAAACTGAGGCATGATAATTTTTTCCATTTATCAAGTATTTGAATGCAAAATATGTCACTTTGTTTTTTAAATAGCGATGCAGAATGAACCCAATTTAACATTGTTAAATTGCGTTCATTAAATCAACTTTTCCTTAGCTTAGACTAATTTGCCAAGAGGGAATAAACCAATGCACTGTTTCTTTTGACAATGGATGGAACAGTGGTTGGATATCGGTTTTTTTGTTATCGTTTTGTGCAATGATGAATATGGGTGTTGGAAAACGTTTTTTATATCTCATTATTTGCTATGATTAATTTGGTTGCTGGAATACGTTTTTTAGCTTTCATTTTTTGCAATGATGGATGTGGTTGGAAATAGTCTTTTGTGCTACTTGCGTTTCATTCGACTCTTATTGATCATCCGCCACTCAAGGCACAGCAAGGAACTATAGCCTAGGGTGTGATTTTTTTCAACGCATAATCAGGTACTACACTGAATGTCAGATAGGGTCAATTAGTATATCATTTTAAAATCTTGCAGAATTGATCTTAATTCAAGAGATATCAAAAGTTTGTCTGTGTCGAGAAAAACTGAGGTTATATCAAAAAAGCTTTAAATTCAAAGAGCTTTAACCCGATATATTTATATTTTTTCTTCGAAATTTGAAAGTTTTCAAAACTTTTCGATCATTCTTTTTCGGTTTTCTTGTTTTTTTTAAACATTTTTACAGCCTTCTGACGGCTATAATCTATAATATCAAGAAAATGCATTTTTGAGTAGGAGTTAAAATAATTGCTACGCTATCATATTCTGATGTGCTGGTCGATTTCTTAATTTCTTTTGTGCATCAGTTACAGTAGTCGGAACAATCTGAGCTACTCGGACAGCCAACAGCTGTCATCATTATTCGGCTTCATTTTTGTCTTTTTTTCTTGAGGTGATCTATCTTCCTTTTATTATAATGCCTTGTTGACTTTTGTCTTAATTTTTGAAGTTAAATTATTTCATTGACACTTAATTGACAATTTTACGGCCGATGTCCCCACAAGTCTATGGTTGACAACCTATTCCTTCAGCACGTATATGATATGCAATTGGTTTTTTTTAATGTGTAGGAGCAAGATGCGCAGTCAATAGAGCGGTTCTTCAAGATCTTCCCCCTTTTGGGATTGCAAAAGGAAGGCCTCTCTAAATTCGTCTCCTTCCTCTCTTCTCAAGTGGCATCCCAGACAGAACAGAACCTGAAGATGGCACTCGAATTCGTAGATAGAGACGAGGGCAGCAAAGTCATCTTCTCAGACACCTTCGTGTTACTCTTCGAAGGTCGGCTGGTGCTTGATTTCAAAAGTTAAAGAAATAAATCACCATGAAATCTTGTAACTTTATCTCGTAGTTGAGTTATTTGGCCTACAATGTCATTATCGGTGTGTTTTTCAAAGATTCACCCGCGACGCGAAATATTATTGGCTATTCCCCCATTTGAATTTCAGTTTTTAAAAACTAACGTTACGTTAGCATAATGTTGAAAAATTTCATGGTGAACCAACTAACTATTGTGAACACATTTGTTTTTTATACCTTTCCTCGTAAAATCACGTATTCAGCCATAACAACACATAAGACATCTGAAAAATGATATTTTTTTGGGTCTTAGGGTAGCTCATGAAATCAATTCGGTCGGCCTTAAATTAAAGCAAACAATATTTCCAAAATTCATGCGCCCGCCATTGGTTATTGATTGCTATTAAGTCAGGAAAAGTCTTTAAACTTGTTCCCGCTCCAATTTGATTTTTCGAGGTTTGGCTTTTGTTTTTTCAAGTTCAATTCATTTCTTTGTTTAGAGGTGGGCAAACTTTACTATTGAACAGCGAAAATGTTAAGGCCATGAAACATGTAATCGATTTCTAGTTACGATAGTGAAATTTTTCTAGGGGCAGTTTTGTGGACCTTTTTCTTAGGTCGACCAACTTGATTTTTCCGAGCTCTCCGAAACTAATATACGGGGACCGTACTTTGTCAAAAATTTTCTGCGCCACAGGCAAATTTTAAAAAAACAGGCCAAAAAACGGACAAAAAATTTGTCGGCGCGCACTCCCCTCTTAAAATTAGTTATATTGGCGCCAAAGGCGCCTTGTGAAATATTTTGAGGTTGGTCTGCCTAAAATGGATGTCATAAAGTTATACCAAAGGGGGGACCCTTTGGAAAAATTTGGCAACCAGAATTGAGGGAGGGGCTCGGTCCCCCCTCGGCACGCTGCTGCTTTAGATGTTGTTTCAGCGGGCTGACACTAGAAACCTGTGGCTTTTGAAAGTATAAAGAGGACCCATATGTTCTTGTTTGCTTAACCATGAGTGATTTCAGGCCTCGCTAGAATAGTTGAGATGCACCAGCCTCTGGTTGAAACTTACTATGGACCAGGCTGGTTGACTGAGTTTGCACTGTTACTACAAGAGGAATGCGACAGACAAAGTAGCCTAATCTTTAAAAACTTCAAACAGAAGAGGAGAATCGAAGAGAAGCTGGAACAAGTCAAACTACTTGGAGACTCAAGCGAAGAGATTATAGACGCGAAAGAAATTGATTCCATGTTGCAGGAGACGACTTTGATTAACGAACGGGCCGAGCTGTACCTTCGATTCATCAAGAGACGAATTATTGCTGATGTTTTTCTGACATGTGATACAGAAGATGAAAAAACTACCCGGTCTGAAAGTATAGAAAACGCGCTTAATAACTGTGGGCTATCCAAAATATTGCACGAATTGGTGGGTTTTTACCTTCGACTTGAGACCGTTTTCCTCAACAGATCTTTCCACGTGGCAGTACAAATGAATGTCGTAGAGGAGGGATCGATGACGTCATCAATGGTAGACGATGTTTTCTACGTACTGAAAAAGTGTCTAAGACGCACCATGTCAACTACAAATTCAGACGCCATCTGTGCAATGATCAACATATCAAATGGACTGCTTGAAAATGACTACTGCAAAGTCCTCATGGAGAAACTGAAAAATGCGATTCCATCCGGATATCTAGATACAGTATTCACTGGAAGGTACCAGAGCGAAGTGGTAGCTCAGTCCAGAAGTGTCTTCCTGGTATCTCTCAACAACTGCAGTGAGAGCATCCAGTTTCTGAAGACTCTTGTCGAGAGTCTAACCACAGATTGGCGAGGACTGACAGAAAGCAACTCAAACTCGAACTCAACTCAAAAATCAAGAAATGCGAAGTCCAATGCAAAAGTAATGTCTTGCATACAAGATATGCATCATATTGCGAGAAGCATAGATGGAGTTTTGCAAGAGGGACATCATATTTTAGTCAAATACTTTTTGAAGCCATTGGTCAAAGCTTGTAGCGAAAACTTTGCCTTAATTTCGCATAATTTAACAGAGGAAGGCCTCGTTTTAAATGAAACCGAAGATCCATTTTCTCAGAAAATAATAGCGCCTGTGGATAATTTTATAGGAGACATTAAAGACTCACTTCTGGAGCGGAATTTCGAACTGATGATTTCAAATTTGTCTCAGACTTTGGTGATGTCATTTGAAAAAGTGATTTTCAAGATGAAGTTTTCCAGAAACGGAGGCTTGGCTTTCGACCGAGAAGTTCGAAGTCTCTCAAACTATCTCTCATCTGTAACTCAGTGGACTGTTAGAGAGAAGTTCACGAGGCTGCTTCAAATTTCAACTTTGCTCAACTTGGAGCAGGTCGAGGAAGTAAATGAGCTGCCAATACATTCCACTAGTTGGAAGATTACACCGGCTGAAATGCGACAAATTTTGAGTCTGAGGGAAGATTTCAGAGGAGAGGCGATCAAACGTCTGACGCTGTAAAATTCAAAATAATTAGTGGAGGCAGATAAAACACACCTGGTGTAATGTTGTAAATTTGGTGTTAATTGCAATTTATTGTACACAGTCGATTTTCTTTTAAATTCTTTACCTCATATCGTATATAGTTATTTCTTAAATTCAGAATGCTGGTATATTTGTACTTTCGAGACTCGAATAGGATACATTTGAGGCGAAGTAAATAGTTTGATTTTATAGTATTCTTAGATAGGGTCGAGTCGGATCTTGGACTGAAATTTCCCTTCCATAGAAAAAATCACGCGCTGCAAAAAAGGTGTCGGGAAATTGGCCAAAAGCTCCATTTTTGAAGGTACAGACAAGAAAGTTTTTTGGCACTCTACATCTCGAAATATACCATATATTCACGCCAAACGCATTTCCGGGAAATCTAAGCTTTGAGTTGACAAAATTGGATGCTGTGAAAGAAAACCAATACTAAAATTCGTTGATGGTTCTGGGATTGTAGCTTGAATCTCTTTGTGATTGTTAAAAAGTTGTGTGGACTTTTTTGTGTTTCAATAAAAGTTAATTTGCTACAGATTGAGCATGTCGGTGAGTCGTGTATGGCAAAGAGGCACAATATTCTCCCGCGTGAACAATCTCATCAGAGCCAACTCTCTTCCATATGTACACAGACCCCTCTGGTTCGATATCTACGAGAAATTTCCCCCTCTCGAGGAACCGAGAGCAGATAGGCATGACTGCTCGCAATAGATTATATTAGAAGACTCTGAATAAAGTTAAGATTTAGTGACTTGAGCTATTCCCTCCCCTATTGAAAAAGCTGAATTCATTATTACGTATACGCTTGCGATTAGCAAACGTTATCAAATCGGAATGTAGACTTTTTTCGAGTTAACAACTAGTTTAACAAAATCAGTTGAATCACTTATGGGTGGGTGCTAGCTGTAGATGTGTGGGACCTAAGTTACTATCAACTACTGGGTGGGTGGTGTTACTACGGGGTAGTTTCAGGGGGACATGAAACTTAAAAAGTTTTAAAAGTTCCGTTTTTTTGGGCCAACTGTTGTCTGCTCAAAGATTGTCGGCTTGTTTTCGCTCCCTAGAATCGTTCAGTTTCTAATTTGAATTTCAGATGGCTTGCTTGGCATGTTTGCCTAGAGTTCGTTCGATAAAAGCAGGTATTATGAAAATGTTTGGGATTTGGTTTTTTATTTTTTTTTTGAGCAGCTTTGAAATTACTTTTCGCAACAAATTTGTTTTATTTTCTCAAACCCTTTTACTGATTTTCAAAAAAGGGGTATGCAAAGAAATACAGCCTACACCTTTGTTTGCCTGTATACTCCCTGGTCTCTTTTTGCTTTACCTCTTTGTCTGTTGCCTTCGAAAAAGTCTGTGGGGGGAATATTTGACCGATTTTTTGTTCGTTTTCTCAAAAATTAACCTACCAAACCTGAGATTTTATTTCAACAAATAGAGAGGATCTGGAAAGCTCCCCTTCAAAAGTGGTTACGCCCAAACTTTTTTACACTTAAAATTATTGCCCTGAAATTAAGGTAATGAAATTTTTGATTTTTTTGACCGTTTTAATTATTTTTTTTCAACTTTTCTCGAAAACTAAACTCCCAAACCTGAGGTTGTGGGCTCAATAGAGATAACGGGTAGTGGAAAGCTCCCATGCATTAGCGGCCACTCTCAATTTGTTTTATACAAAAAGTTATTTTCTTCGGAAAAGTCAAGTTTTTGAGCGTTTTTTTTCTAATTTATGAATTTTACCGAAAATTACCCTCCCATATCTGATATGTTGGGTTCAATCCCCAGAGCGGGTTGTTGAAAGCTCCTTTTCATACGCGCCTATGCCCAAATTTTTTTGACACAAAAATTATGGTCCTCGGAAATTTCGTTTTTTGACCGCTTTTAAAATTTTTTGTTTTCGAGAACTACCCTGCCGAACCTGAGTTTTTGAGTTCAATCACGCGTAGTCAAGATCTGCTTCCGCTGTTTTCAACAAATGCCACCGGTTAAAATCCCCAAAATGATTAATTACCGCTAGGATTATCAACATTTTTTTCGAAGATCAACACATTGGATTAGGTTAACAAGACACTTGGAAAAAACTTAATTACGGTATCAGTGGATCGGATCTATCCTGAGAGTATAACTGTTTCGATTCAAACTATGATTTTGTTGATTGATGAGGTGTATCGAGTTATTGGATCTACTTACCAATCCCCCGTATGGTATCTACTAAAGAATCCCCACCCCTATGAATAAATAGATATAAATAAGCATACAGCTTGTATTGAGAATTCGAATTTTGCTGCATTCTGATTGGTCGAAAAATCGACCATTTTGATCTACTTAACAATCTCCTTCCCTTTCATGAAATTGGAAGATTGTTAGGTAGATCCGAGTTATTTTTTCAGCGGCCAGCCAACGAGCTATTTTTTCAGCCCTTCTGATGTAATCTATTGCAATAGACAAGTGAAAAATATGCCAGTATTGGATATCCTGTACGAAGAAGACAACGAGCGGGCAGCTGCCGACAGAAACGGAGAAAGGGCTGGGCAAATTTTCGACCTGACGAAGCAAACATAATTGTTCGATTCTCTTTAAATAAAGTGACCAATTGTGCAATCAACAAGCTCGAAAACTAGACAGGCCTCGATGCTGACCGAGACACGGGAACTCGAAAAAGCGAAAAGATTTAACTGAATTACGTCATCATGAGTTCGTTGAAGTTGTATTTGGTTGATTTCTGTACAAGTTTGAGATTTCGATTTATACTTATTGCTCTGGCCAACAATTTATTGCGCATTGCTTTAAATTTATTGTACGCAACAGCAACAATCACAAAAGTACGCTGATATGTAATGTGTGACCGTTTGGTATCATATTTCATTTTTTTCAGCCTTGATTAATTCTAAATATTTTCATTGAAATTTCACTGATTTAAGTCGTTTGGTTGCAGGAAAATTTTCCTTTCTTGCATATATATTTTTAGGCACCTTTTGGAAAATTTTGGCCTAACAAATTGCGTTTTTTTCGGCGCGAGCTTCCCCCTCAAAATTAGTAAATAATGGCGCCAAAGGCGCTTTTAGAAACTTTTTGAGGTTGGTCAGCCAAAATGGATGTCGTAAAGTTATACCAAAGAGGTGAACCTTAGGAAAAAAAATTGGCAACCAGAATTGAGAAGGGGCGGTTGTCTCCTCCTCTCCCCTCGGCACGCTACTGAAATTCATTAAGCAAAAATAGAAAAAATTAGATCAAGCGAACCATTTTTTTCCTAAATTCACCAAGCGAACGCTCATCCTTCTACAAATAACGGCAAGATAATAGCGTAAATCATCACGTGAAATGCTGAATTTTGTTGTGCTGAAGGACTCCGCTTATAAGGAAATGTACGATCTCCTCCCTAATTTGGTTTCGGGGAAAGATAGGTCACTTGGTAAAAAAAGTTTTGTCTCCTAGAAGAGTTTATGCGTGAAAAAGTGTGTTGAAAACATTAACTTACTATTATTGCTTATTTTTGACTTATTTTCTTTTAGTTCTAGATAAGCGTTGGTCATGTCTGCTACCATTCCGAATATAAAATTAGAAGCTCAGGAGTATCAGACAGGCTCTCAGCCGAATGCATCCCACAATGTATATATAGAAGACGGACACATGTACAGTGACACAGACGAGAACATTCTAGAAGAAGAGGTTGCCGAAGATTCTGATGGTGAGGAAGAGGAGGAGGAATACTATGTAGAACAGCTGCCAGAAACAATTGCAGAAAGTGTTGTTGAGAACGGAATCCGACTTGTTCAGATGCAATCGGCCGCCGAGTCTTCTCGAATGGCGGGTTCGGCTAGCACTGACGAGCCCCCGAAGAAGCGTCGTCGCCGAAGAACTGTTCCTCCCGAGGTGAAAAAAGACAATCACAAGGAGCGCGAGCGGGCAAGACGGAATCTGATCAAAGACAGGTTTGCTTATTTGCGGGCAACGATTCCAACGTTAGGAGATAATGCGCATAAAATGGCGAGAACCGAAGTGCTGGAACACGTGATCGAATATATTCAATTCATGCGAAATAGAAATCAGAATCACATGATCGATATAGAGAATCTGCGTGTGAACAATGTGAATATGGAGGAACAAACGAAGGGTCTGCATATGGCATTGCGTTATGGTTATAAGCTAGGAGGCTACACTGAACCTAACACAGGGGAGGTTATTATCGACGGAGTGCTACCGGGATGTAGTGTTGTCGAGACGATGCCTGGCAACGCTTTTAACGTAGAAAGTACTCAAAGTCTTCTCGAAAACGGTCCGATGTCAGTGGGAGTGACAGAAACAGGTGCGGAATATTACCACCATCATCAGACTTATGGGACAAACCCACACTCAGTTGCAATAACTCAGCAATACGAATCTTACGCCACACCTCAGTATGGCGAACCATCTGTGATTATGTCAGGAACAATACCGGCATCGGAAGCGCACTTGGTTGCGCAATCGCCTGTTATGACAAATATGTTGACCGAAACGCGAGCTCCGAACCCAAAAACTTCCAAGAATTTTAGCAGCTCAAGTCAGAAGATTGTCATTCCGACAACTGCTCCAAATAATAACGACGGTATGCAGATAGCGGCCGGACCTATGAGTCACTGCAATGGTTCTCAGGATGCTGGGTTTGGATATGAATCACCAGAGGAGGAGTTTATAATGCTGTCAGAATTGAAAGCTGACGAGCAGCCGGAATCGAAAAATGGAAAGCGGAAAGAGCGCGCGAAGATTTCGAGAAAGAAGAGTTCGGTCATTAAGAGCTCAATCGAGGCGGTCGTCAGAAGTGTTTCGGGTGACGCTAGCGGCAGTTCTGTTTATAACGGAGTTTCTTCCAATGACGAAGGCGAATATCAAAAACCGCGTGGTCGTGGTCGACCCAGAAAACTGAAGGGCGAACAGTCGAGCTTAAGTCTAGCATCAGTAGCAGCAATCGAGAAAATAATCGACTCTGTAGTGTCTATTGAAAGTGGTCTGCCTCCCAAAAAGAAGACAGTAAACCGTGTTCAACCTGAGCAGAATTGAAGATCTGACTTGACCAATGACGATATGATACTAGCCAATAAACTGAGCTCACCGTTATCTTGTATGTACCAAGATTTCTCTGAATTTTAAGTCGTCCTACTTATTTTTGGCCCTAAATTAATTTCCTCTAATGCATTATCTAATTAATTACTTCAGTTGTTTGTTTTTCTTATTTTTTGAACTGATATTCTTAGTTTCCATTTTGTGGTAAACTTTTGCGTTTGTTTCTCAGTATCTTATTTGTCCCTAGTTCTAGTTTGTCTTAACATATGTAAATTTTATGAAAAAAATTTAGACTTGAAATTGTACCTATATATTGTAATATAAAATTTGTAAAAGCTAAAAATACCAAAAGTTGTACATAAATCGGATGCTACCAGGATAATGATCGAAAGTCTTTAGGAGTTGGCCTGAAGATAATGTTAATATTGTCTCCGCCTTTTAAATTTCTAGCAAATGTAAATATTGTTTGATTGTCCACTTTTGATAATTGATAATTAATTTTTTTCTTGAAAGCTTTTTGTCGAGGAGAACTAAGGTTCGCTGCAGTTGATTTTCAGCAAAATTTCTCCTGTTCTAATCTTCTTTTTTTTGTTTCGGCAAAATTTTTCGAAATAATCAGCATCCAGGTTTTTGTTAATTGATAGCACCAGGCGCGGAGATACGATATTCTCGAGGCGGGTGAATTTTCAAAAAAAAAATTTTTGGTTTGGTCTGCCTAAAATGGATGCCATAAAAATACCAAACTGGGGACCCTTTGGTTTTGAAAGGGTCAAATTCCCGAGGAGGGGGGGGGGGGAGGGGTGAGGTCTCCCGCCGTTAAATCTGCCCCTGGATAGCACCATGTGTTTCAGCAATAAAGATATCTTTTTACTCGTTTTTGTCTCAGCTACTTTTGCGTTGGTGAAATAATTTGAATGATTGTTTTGCGTGATCATGGGAATGTGAGTCTGATTACGCCTAACCTAACGACTGGTTACGGCTAACGGCTGGTTGTGCCTAAGCACATATAAAAAATAGCGCGGAAAATTAATGTAATTAATGTGCATAGTTTCACCAATATTCAGCTCCGATTATGAAAAAACTCGGCGTAAGCTAGCCGCAAGAACCGGTAAAGTTGTATACTGTTAAAAATGGTCAAATGGGGCGCCAGCCCCTTATGTTTACATGTATAAAGGTCGGAGTGTCGGTGACTCGAACCCGCGCCAGACCGCCCTGAGCGCTGTGTATATACGCTAGATTTGACATCACGTGTTATATCTTAATAAGGCTCTTTTTCAGTTTCCCACCCCCTCGTCAAATAACAAAATAAAGCTGTTCAAAAATTGTTCACACGGCACACATTTTGCATGCAAGAAATATTATAAAAATTTGTTTACCTGTTCACGCTGACACGTTTTAACGCAGTTTAGAACAAGAAACGCTATTTTAAATTGAATTAAAGAATAAATTAAAGAGGGGGACTGGAAAAGAATCCTCAATTTTGCTCCAATTAAATAATTTGAATGACTTATTTAAATTTGCGTTCCAAAGCGCAGTTTTGTCAACAAAATTTGCCGATGTGCTTTTTGATTTCGAGAAAATCATAAATCCCAGATGATTTTGAAGGATGCTACTATGATAGAGTGGTCCCTTGAAAAAATCCAGGTCTCTTGAGAAAAAGACACCTATGGCTCTGAAAATGTTTAACAATTATGATTTCGCTATACAGTTTATTTTTAAACAAATTTTAGATTTCGTTACTTCTTAAAATCTCCTCACTATTTTAAGCTGGAAAATTCAAAAAAACGCCCACATTGAGTTTTGATGATAAAAAAGTCAACTAATTATGGTTGTGAAGCCGTAAAATAAATTGAAACGAGCATTTTTCTTGATATTAAGATGTTAATTACAATTATTAATCTGAACAGTGGGACCACTCCATCATAGCAGTACCTTTTGGAGCAGGATAACCCTTAAGTTGTATACAGAAACTCTTTTTACGCGCTAAAACGCCGTTGTGCAGACCCGCTAAGAATTCTATTTTCACAACACTATCAAGATTAACATATTCGAGTGGCTAAGAAAGATTTCTGTCCGGCAGCCGTTTTATAAGTTAATTTTTTTTGAAAAAATTAGTTATTCGACTATCAATTGTCTGCTCATTTTATCAAGTTTCTCAGCATTACGTTCCTTAGCAAGGTTTACTACAATTGAAATTCAATTTGGTCTTTTCTTTCAATTTGTAATTCTGCCTTACAGCGTTACTGTCGCTTTTGAACAATTTTTTCGGAGGATGCCAGAGAGCTGATGTGGGTGCCGAAAAGCGTGTAAACAGCACAATGAGTTCGCATTTTCAGCTTGAGATGTTTTCGAACGAAAACTGAGTTTCTTAGCAAAGCTCGTCAGAAAATTTTCTCCGTATAAAAAGTCACTTGACAATTGATTAAAGTGTGAGAACGGTGCATATACAATTTTTGCAATGCAAAAAATTCCCATATGAAACAGTCCAGAACCATTTAAATTTTTTGACGTTGATCTTTGAGCGCAGACAGAAGTGATCTACGCTTTGAAACACCAAACATGAGCGTGAAATCGAACATAAAATCAGATCAGAATCAAACACCTCATGGGATAGTGGTTAAAGTGTAAGAATCAAACTCTAGAGATCAAAGGATCGAATCACCGACGACACAAATAATTTTCCGAACAAAAGATCAATTTGGGTAAATATTAAACGGGTATATCTAGGGTGCAAAAATGGGCTCAAATTGAAAGAGTTGGGTGAGAAGGTAAAGGAAATCAGCATCTTGTATGTATCCAGTTTTTTTCAGGTTTCAAACCAGCTATAGCCCAAAAAAGAAAAATCAAGGAAGTTAATTGAACATGCAGTTTTTTTTGCCTGGCAAAATTGAAAAATTTTTAAAAATTTAGTATAGACTCTTTTTCTGGACTTTGAGATAGTTTTTCCGACTATTTCGTACAGGACTGTTTTCTTTTGGACAGTGTTGTACAGAAACTGCGAGGAACAAATTTGTTGGTCTTTTCCTAGCTTTAATGCCTTCCTATGTAAAAGGCATTTTTATCAAAAGTCCTCGCTAAGACCCTTGCTAACAAACACTTTTAAGTCATCAAATTGAAAGTCATTGTGATGTTTAAAATGATTTTATGGCAACCAGAATTCCGCTCTGCCACCCTAAAAAAAGTAATCAAATAACGCTTTCAAAAGAATAATTTAGTGTTGGTCTGCTGACTAACTGATTGATTAACATAGTTCCATTGGTATCCGAAAGCTGAACACTGAATCTTTTTAATTTTTGATAAGGTTTTCCCAAAATAAATTTACGCGACAAACGTATCGAAATTTTAAATGGTGTGTTATTTTTTACTTTTTTTCAAAGTGTTTTGACTGATGTGAGGCGACAATTCGTAACAAGCGGCAATTGGTAACAAGCGACAATTGGTAACAAGCGACAATTCGTAGCAGTAGATTAGGTGGGAAATACTGATTCGAGCGCACTGTTCTTCTCGTGACGAATGTAAGCGCAGCGGAGCAAGCGTTTTCTACTTGTCAATACCTTGTTACGAATTGTCGCTTGTTATGATTTGTCGCCTGTTACGAAATGTCGCCTATTACGAATTGTCGCCTGTTACAATTTGTCGCCCTCCCTTCGACTCAAGGGATTTTTAGAAAAAAATTTGTTTGTCTAAAGCTAAATCTTTTCAGCAGGTGGCACAGTAAGCACTGTTGGGTGAAAAGTCATAACGAGTCACACTCCGTCAACCCTTTTGAAGTTTGTAGTTGAGGTTAACGGAAATTCAACAAGGAGCCATCTGAACGGGCAATTTTTGTTTGCAGATTTTGAAAATGTTTTCGACATTTTTAAGTCGACCAAATTGATTTTCCGAGCTCTCCCAGAACAGTATAAAAGCTCTATTTTGACCAAAAGCTGTGCGCCTCACTCCTCAGGCAAATTTTTGGAAAAAAAAACGTTAAAATTGCGTTGTTTTTGAGCACTTTCTGGAAAAATTTTGACCAAACAATTGCGTTTAATCGGCTCGCTCCCCCTTCAAAATTAGTTAACATTTTTGCCCAAGCCGCCTTAAAAAATTTTTAGGGTTTCTCGGCCTAAAATGGATATAATAAAATAATACCAAAGGGGGATCTTTGGTTGGTGAGGGGTTTCCCCTAAATCCGCCCCTGGTTTTGAGCAACATAAATGTTATAAAAAAATGATATCAAGGTAATTCAGTCATCAAAGAATCTACAGTAAACTTTAAGGTCAAGTGAACCTAACAATCCTGCATAAGCTCAGCTGCAGGCATCTGCCTTTACATAGTTGACCCTTAGTACTTGAAAAAAAAAACAATATTTATACCAACAGCTAGCATTATGATGAGAAGTCGTTTTAATCCGTCAAAAAGCCATTTTGAGGGTTTTCGAAACAAAAAGTATGCGCAGCGCGTGATTTTTCATTTTCCTTACAAATCATGCATGAATGTGTATGGTTGCGCATTATCTTCTTTGTTGGGCAACCCAAGTCACTGAGCGTACAATAATTCTTTTGTCTATCATTTCCAAAGGAATGAGCATCCGAAGAACTTGATTGCAGTTTTCTTACAAAAGTAGCCTTTCAGCTTGATGACTGCTGGGATTTGTTTTCTTTCTTTTCTTCATCTGATTCAACTTTAAAACTGACCAACTTTAAAATACATTTTTGAAATCTTTCAAAATTGTGTAATTGAAATTTTCAATTAGTAAGTCTGTATGATCAAAAAGTTTGGGATGGGTTGTTGATGGTAGGTAATGAAAATTGAAAGAAAAAGTTTTGATTGAAAAGTCCATTCGTTATTATTAGGGGTGGATTTGCAATTCATAAAACCCTAAGTATGAGTTTAAAAAATTCCTCAAGTTTTTATCATGAGTCTTAAAAGATTTACAGCAATTTTGTTTTGCTATTTTTGAATTGTTAAGAGCTGCTGGAACAATTGAATTAGTTTTCTGCTATGGCTCCCTGTTTCTAGCATCTCTAAATCCGTTTAGTGGGAAGGATGTTCCGAGTTGGAATTTTCAGTTTAACTTGATCCGTTTTTAATTTTTAAAGTTTGCAAAAATCATTGCAAATCATAATTTAGATGCAGTACCTTCCTTTCTGGGTAAATGCTTACTGAAACTAGAAATCAGTTGAATAGTTGATGATTTAGTGCAACTGCTGTACAGCAAAGCCATTAATTGACGTCGACGCGTTCTTTTTTTGGCAGACGCGGTGATGCAATTGGCTCAAAATGATTTACTGGGGTTCAAGTAAAACAGTTTGCCAAGTTCCACCTTTTTCAAACTAACCCTTTTTTGATAAACAATTTCTCTTCTAATTTGATCAAGAGTCTGTGTTTACTTCTTCCAATTTTTTTATTTGTTAAGAAAGTGGTGCTCATCTGTCATTAGGCCCATTTTTGATGTTGGTGGTGTTTAAAATGTTGAGTCAAAAAACAAGTAGAGATAAAACAATGTATTACTGTAACAATACTGGGTGGT